TGGAGCATCTCTCCTACGAGGAGAGGCTGAGAGAGCTGGCCTTGTTTAGCCTGGAGAAGGCTGAGAGGGGACCTTATAAATGGTTATAAATTTTTTGAGGGTGGGTGTCAGGAGTATGGGGCCAGACTCTTTTCAGTGGTGCCCAGCAACAAACTGAAGCGTAGGAATTTCCGTCTGAAGACGAGGAAGAACTTTACTTTGCAGATGACGGAGCCCTGGAACAGGCTGCCCAAGAGAGGGATTGTGGAGTCTCCTTCTCTGGAGATATTGATACCCCGCCTGGACAAGGTCCTGTGCAGCTTGCGCTAGGGGAGCCTGCTTTGGCAGCAGGGTTGAACTACATGATCAACAGAGGTCCCTTCCAACCCCTACCATTCTGTGATTCTGTCATATTAATTGGAAGACCATAACATAGAGATTACAGTTATTTCTCATGGCAATAGTAAGAGTTGATCTGCCCCCACTAGAAACTGTGGATAAAGGACCTAACTTTCTACCTGAGCCTTTACACAGCTCTTCCCCTTTCCATGCTCGTCTGTACGTCTTCACCAAGACAACAAAATATCATAGCTTACACAGAATGTTGTTCTGTTCACACATGTATGTAAAACTGTTTTTCCGTATGTAGAATAAAACTACAAAATACTGAAATGGACGTGGTGGGAGAGAGGGAAGGAAACCAGAAGAGAATCGCTGAGTTAAGTTGTTAGATGTTTTAAACTTCTTAACACTCCAGTCCCCAAAAGTGACCTCAAAATATGTAATACTTTCATCCTTATTTAATCACATAAGAACTTTTTTCTGAGGTGGAGGTAAGATCTTCTATAGTCTGCGGTTGGTCCTAATGGAGCACTAGTCAAAGTTTACAGACATTCAAACTAGTATTTTACATTCTAAACAAGTTGTCTTGAGGAATTCTGAAATAATTAGGAGAGCTAGGAACTCAGTGGAAAAGGTCTGTGTGTTATGTATATGGTTTTTGTGCTTGCCGGGTTTTTATTATTGCTTTAGAAATACAATTCTGCAGTCTAGAATGTACTGCATTCTGTTTTCTCTTCTACCAGCTGTAAGTATCTAAGAGGTACGAGTAAATATTCCTTAACAGAGACCAGGATATGTAGAAATAATGGCAGCTACTTACCGGGCTAATTTCTGTACGCATGCTTCTGAGTTCGTTGCAGGAGCTAAGTAAGCCAACCAGTTGCTGTCTGGAAAAATAGTCTAGTGCAAAAATTACAGTAATAATTTTAACCTTAAAATCTTAAGGGCACAGTGAAGGTCAGTTAACTTATTTGGTAACATTACAGAGTGGCTGAAAGGTAATCTTTGCTCCAGAGTTTTGGGAGCATTGTGCCTTCTCTAATTATGCATAAGAGTAACTGTAGTCATTCAAAATGAACTGCTGACTTGCTTAAATTTCTTAATAGTGCAGTGAAACCTGTCAGCTGCTGGTATTGCTTGTACTATTGCCTGTCCTTCTGTTTGCTATCATGGTAGTTACTTAGTTCTGATAAGTAGTTCCGACTTACACGGCTGTCTCATGTTCTTACTCGTATGACAGTGAGTCTAAACCTAGCGGAGAGCAGCACTTTGCTTTTAAGGATTTGACTAATAAGAGTTCAGACTAACAGCTACCTTACTGATAATAACAAAAGATATGAATATTAGGGCAAATTGGGAATCACTTGCTGAGTCTAGTACTTGCCAACCTATTGTATGCAGAAATTAAACATGTCCTATGTTCAAAAGCCTTGTACCTGTGCTACAGGAGGAATGATTCCAGTGTTCCTGTGTAGGAATATAGCATATACAAGCAAAGTCTTGAGTGAAAAGGCAAAGGTCTCAAAGCTGGATACAGCTTGAAATTTCATTTCATATGGCTCGCACCCATGCAATTATCTCGTTACAACTGTTAGGTGGCACTGGGTGCTTGTTTAATGTATGACCTGACAGGTATGTTTGTAGGCGGCCAGATGGGCTCTTCAGAGGAAGGATTTGTGATCCCTGGATTGAGTACCTGGTCTAAAGTCTAATTTTGCAAGTGTATCTTCTTTGGCGACCAGTATCAGGTCTAAACTTAGTTAAATATGAATGTATTGACTGGCCTAATATAAAAGAGCACTGTTTGCAGGGCTCAATTTGTTTTCTGCAAGTCAGATTACTGAGGAGTGTGCAATTTTAATAAATTTAAAATATTCTGTTTCTTTGTAGTGCAGCTTTGGAAAAAACTTGTCAAACGGTATGAATTTTAATACTGTAAAAGGCACAGAGCTCAGCTGTAATGAACAGACCAATTTTTGTAAATTTGACATTAAAAAGCATTATTGGGGAAAATGGTCACCGCCTCCTTAAGCTGTCAAATGTTCTAGAAAGAATGTTGTTACAATTAAGATTTGTCCAAGTATGAATTCTGTCTTACTCTGAAGAAGAGTGTTGTGGTTAAGATTTTTCATGTTTGACCTCTACCAGAGGTACAGGCTTTAGAAAGTATGACAAAAACTCAACTTTATCTTAAACTGTCCTCAAAGTGCTTTCTGCTCTGCCTGCACCTGTTAGGGCTTCTCCGCTTTTGTGAAATGGGGGCCAAGAAATCACCGGAGTCGTTATCTTTTTTTTCTGTTTTTTTCTTTTCTTTTTTTTTTTTCCCCTTGTTTGCCAAGTTCTAGGTTATTTACCATTGTGAAGCTACTTTTGTTTATGAAATCTGGGGCTGGGATGAGTCTTGGGCTGAAAATTAAAACTGAGTGTGAGTTGTTCTCGCTGGAAAAGAGCATGTGAGCATGGCTAAGTATCAAGTAATTATAGTGTATTACATGATACGGTTTTATGCACACCTGAAAGCTTGTTTGCCACCCATGCGCTCCTGGTAATTATCTGCCCAATACCTTCTCCTCTTTTTGATGCTCCAGGATGATTGTGGTAGAAGCTTTATCATAAATACAAGTCTGGCGTAAGAGAGTAACAGGAGAACTGAAGGGAAAGAATCTGCAACGTTCTTTCACAGACGTTTTACTGAAGACCTTATGATAAAGTGCATTTCATTATAGAAGAGGCTAAGGCAAGGCCTAATGTCTGATTTAGACTGCAGCTTGATAAACTGGTCTGCCTGGATTCACATCTCCAGACTGGCTGAAAGCGGTTGCATGGCCATGAATAATAATAATGGGGAAAGCTTGACGTGTTGAATTGCAAATAAGTATTTCAGCAGCTGTGAACAGTGAATGGTTGCTTGAAATCTGCTTGACTGATAGCTCCAAAGATAAGCTTGTCTACATTCCTGTGTCAGGCGATCTGGTGTTGGTTTTTGTGGGTTTTTTTCCTTCCTTATACCTGTTAGGGTGTTTGAGTAGTAAGCTGTGGCTCCCAGTGAAAGCTTGCACCCTTGACATGTAGTTTTTTTAATAGATTAGGGGTGGCCTAACAGCCATATCTGAGGTCTGTGTTGCATGGTCCACTTGGTGGGCTGGGTTCACCCTGCTTCCACCCTGTATTTCATGTTTTTAGATGATGTGAGAAATGGCTGTTGGTACAACACATGCAGTCGAAATGGCCAAATGCAGACCAATCTGGCAAAATAATCCAGGAGTTGCTTTCTCCTTTTGAGAGTGGAGGATGTTTCTCAGCCATGTATTGTGGCCCTGTAGGAAGCTGAGGAACATCCCCTTGCAACAGTCTGCATGGATTGGAATAGAATAGCACCTGGCCCAACTCTTGCTGAAGCTGGACTGTCCCGAGGTTGTTTGGCATCTTCATTTCTTAGTCTTTTCAGTCACGGCTTGTAAATGGAGGTAAAAGGCAGAGGAGAATGGGAATGTTATCATTCCTGTGTAAATGAAACTTCCCTGATCTTTTGATATTGCTTAGCGTTTGGCGTGACCAAAGTGTGTTATTCTTTGGACTGCTTGCCCGTGCAGGCTCTGCTTGATACACGAGTGCCTTGCAGCTGAATGGAGTTCGCTTTTAAGGTGCTCTGAGTTTGACCAGGGAGTTCATTGATCACCTAAGAGATTCAGCAGGGTGTACAGCTCTGTCTTGCTTATTGCTGTCTGCTCTTGGAATGAAACAGAAGAGTGTTTGAGCATACAAAACTATTCTGGAATTCATATGGAAAGATATAAAAAAATCTTACTGTAAGGGGGGTAGCAGGGGTTTTGGGTGTTGTTAAGATAAATCAACTATATAATGTTCTATCTAAGTGAATGTTTACTCATGTTCCTGCCTGATGATGAGCAGCAAGTCTGTCGAGTTCCTTCTAAGAACTTCAAGTGGAATATGTGTGATAATTACCAGGTTCTTTTTCTCAAGGCCTGCAATCCTGGGCAAAGGGGAGAGGAGAGGGATGACCTGCTGGTCCTGCAATTTACTGCTGCAAGCAGAGCAGTGTAACTCTTGGTTTAAGGAATTCTTCACCCTCCATATCAGAACATATTCTGTTCCTAGTTTTGATAAAGAAAACTTCTGACTTGCTGTCTTTAATTTATCTAGCTGCTGAGTTCGTGATGATTTTAGTGTGGGGGGGGTGAAATTCCAGAAATACTGTACCACAGTTAATGGTATCTCAGTGCTTGGCTGCAGGACTGGGTGAAGTTGTTCAGCTTCGCTGGTGGGGTACTAGTTGCTGGTGGAAAATTTGCATACTTTTTTTATTTAGTGAGATCATAGACAATATTTACCACTCTTGCAGGGTTTGCTGTGAATTAAATACTAACCCTTCTTATTTTGTGATACTCAAATTATGGAGATGGAAATACTTTAAAAATACATAGTGTTACATAAGGCTTGGGGTTCCTGGGGCTGAAGTATTCTATGACATCTCCAGTATGCTTAAATGAAGCAGTGCGAACAGTGTTAAATATGCTGTCCACTTTTGTTATATGAATTCTGTCTTAAATGTTGGCTTGTATTCAAATTGTTTTACTTTTCTGGTGTGGGTTTGTTATTTTTCAGGCAAATTTTGAGGGGTGAGCAGGAGGTACCAGACTCGATGAGTTTCAAGCGAAATGTCGGAAAAGTCAGGCCAGAGTACAAAAGCAAAGGATGGAAAAACAAAGTATGCAACACTCAGTCTGTTTAATACTTACAAGGGAAAGTCACTGGAAACTCAGAAAACCACAGGTGAGTAAACTGACTTTAGTTTTGCCTTCTGTTTCATCATGACTGTAGTACTAATTAAGAGTCCAAAGTATATGAGCACTTAACCACAGCGAGATTTTTGAACTGGTTGATTCAACAGTTAAGTGGAGGAATTCTGGAAAGCTATCTTGATTATAGTTTCTGATTAGCTGTAAACAAGAGTATCAGGTCAGGGAGACAGCGTTTGCAGTCTAGTAGGAAGTAGAATGTAGGTAAGTAAAAACTGTTGTATAGCTGCAGTCTCCGTTTTTTGTCAGTGTATGACAGGCCATTTCCCAGCTGTGCTTTTTACCATATTTCAGGAAAAGTTTGTCTTACTGGAGGTGTTTGATTAACAGACCAGGTGCTTTGTCTGTTTTACAGACAAACACTAGGTGAAGCTGATACTGAAGTTTCAGATAAGGCCACTGTGTGCCTGCTTTTTCATGATTGATTGGATTGAGAATGAGGAGGGGAGTGACACCCTGAAGGCTTTGAATTTGATTTGACATACTTGCCTAAATTGAGGGGGTGAAAGAGGGGAAGTGTGTTCAAACTTTGTTAAAGTTTGCCACAATATTATTTTTAGAGGTTGAAACTGAGATGTTTGTAAAGATACAACATGCCTAGGGCAGTAACTTGTAGTTGTTCACCCAAGTTGGTTAGTTGGTAGATTGAATATCCTGCGTAGTGCATTAGCTTCATACTGCCTTTTCATAGTTGTGGTCTGGAGTAAATGCAGTTTGTAGGTATGTTTTTGAAAGAGCAGCATCTGCCACCTGAAACTGGCAGCAAAAAAAGAAATGGGCTGGACCCATGTCGGTATTCCTGGACTCGTCAAGGTATGTTAAACCCCAAAAGGAGCAAGAGAATGATGCTTGACAATATGTTACATTATATTAAGACATCAGCATCACATTTCAAATAGCTCCTCTACCTTTCTGTCAAGGAGCATTGTGTATAAAGGCTGCATACAGCCTTTTTAATCTCTTGAATAGGCTAACCATAATGTCTCGCTATTCGAAAAATACTCAAGTTCTCCCAAATCAACTATTTCTAATTCCTTTTTTATTTAAATTATGAAGAAATTTGAATTTCCAGTTCTTGTACTCTTGAATTTTTCTGAACTTCTTGCAAAACATTTTTATTGATTTATGTAGCTTTGCATGAACACTGCCTGCTAAACAGCATTGTTAACTTGCACTTTCTGTTCTGGGATGCAGTTGCCGCACGCCATGGATTACAGAGTCTTGGAAAAGTTGCTATTTCAAGGAGGATGCCTCCCCCAGCTAACCTCCCCAGTCTCAAAGCAGAGAACAAAGGCAATGACCCTAACGTGAACATTGTGCCTAAAGATGGCACAGGGTGGGCTTCAAAACAAGAACAGCATGAAGAAGAAAAGTAAGTGACCAAGGGGATCTGGGTTGTTTTTCTGTGCCATTTCTCTCACGTTTTCCCAAAACTAGGGGTGGGCAGGGCCTGGGAAGAAATTGGGTGGATTAGGCTGTCCTCAGGATAGCTACCAGAGAGGAAATAGCACCATTACTAATTTTTGTGAGGACGAATCTGGCTGTTTGGGGGGATAGTTTAAAAAAAAAAAAAAAGGGCACAACACCCACCCCCAAAAAAATCGCCACACTGAAGTTGAAAGCAGTATGCTTATAAATTCTGTATAAGGGGATGAGTGTTTCCTTTAGCCACCTGTAGCATGTTTTTGTAAGATCAGTGTAATCACCTTAAAACTCTCTTGAAACTCTAGGAGGATCACTTAGGTCCTTAGCTAAATTAAATAGCTTGCAAATTCATGAGTGTGCAAAAATCTGTTTCCTTCAGTGTGATTGTGTTGATACATGGCAGAGAAAGCTCAAAAATTCTTGGTTTGTATACGTTTGGTTGAATCTCTGCTTTATTTTCCCAACGGTTCTTAGTAGTTGCACTTTTAATTTGTTAGTATACCATAAATTCTGCAGACTCAGAAAAATTTTTTATCTTAAACTTTACACTATTGTTTCCCACTCCCCCAGTATGCAATACAAGAAAATAGAAGTGATGATGATGTTGTTGCGCTGCTGTATATTGTGTATAGTATTATTCCCCATGCTCAGTACAGTTTCATCTGCTAAGCTAGTTTCATACTTGTACTGGAGGTCAGCTAACGAAAATAGAGACCAAAACTTCATTATCTAATTTGAAAGTATTTCAAAGCAAATTTTTTGCCATGTAAGCTCAAAATAGTACATTGTTCTCTCTACAAAAGTAGCAGTAGGATTTATGTATTTAGTCTTTGATGTATAAACTGTTCTGAAAAACACTTAAAGATAGAGGCACTGATTTTGTCACTAGCACTTCTGAGAGCAAAAGATGATTAAAGGTTTTCTTCCCCTTCTTGCTGTCCCTTTATTTCTCCTTGTATACTTTCCTACATTTAAGTATCAGTTTTTGACATCTCTCTGAAAAGCTGTTAGTCTTCAGGAGTATAGTGTCGTGTTTAGCTTTTTAGTTTAAGCTTACGAAACTATGAGTTTAGAACTTTCTGCCTGGTGTTTTGTGTGGTGATTCAACAACATTGTTGTGTACTTCAAGGTGACTTACACTTTGTCTGATTAAATCTGTGTTGAGACAGTAGCTTGTTTGACTAACACATGCTTTATCTGCGTCTTTGTCTGCCTTTCCATAGCCTGCTGCATGTGTTAGGAGTATATTCCAGTAGTTGATGTTGAGTTTAAAAATAAATTGCAGTCCACTATCCGCAACTGGAAGGTGTTTGCCTTTGTATTTTCATAATCATTATTCTGATAAAGGCCTCAAAGACCACATACAAGTAAAACTGGTATGGGGGAGGGATTCGTTCCCAGGAAGAGGTATGTATGCCCAGGCCATGAGTAAATTCTCCTCACTTCAGACTACCTAATGCATTTGCTCAAGTCTTCAGACCATATTTGTAACTACTGCTATATTTCTTCACTATTTCAACATGTTTATAAATGCTGCAGTTAACATGTAAAGTGTTTTGGTATTCCTCTTGAAAGTGTCATGGATAAAGGTAACATCTTGATATCGGCTTGTTTTAGTTTAATTCTTTCTCTTATATCACTGCCTGGGAGTTCACATGAGTGAGTTATTGCCTGTGATTATGAATTTTTTTACTCCTGCTTTCCTAAGTTGTCACTCTTTCTATGGGTGTTGCCTCAGTCCCTTTTTCCTAAATTGTGCAGCCTGTAGTGTATTGACTGATTAATTCAGCTAGCACCAAGCTGAGTTCTTTACCTTGTCAAATGGTACAGCTGTAGGACAGTGTTTAGATAACTTCAGTTCTAAGTGGGCTGAGCTTTGAAACAGTAGAACTACAAAAAGTAAACTCTTAATAGTCTTCTTCCTTGTTTCACTTCTGCATGTCAGAGTACAGCCACATAAGTTCCAGCTTCCCCAAAGTCTGTTCAGAAAATGTGCAACTGTAAGAAAATATAAATTAAGTGGAAAATGAAGAGAAGATTTTTTTTTTTTTAATTCTGATAATCTGTGGAAACAAATCAAAATTGCGTTCAGTTATCCCTGTAAGATGCCAGTGTCATGTGTGTGTGTGTCCCCGGGATTTTTTTTTTTTGGTGATGTTTACTTCTACGTAATTTCTGCGACTGCCATGTAGTGCTCTGAGCTGATCACTGCAGAATCCAGATGGAACTGACTTCTCAGTGACAGTCGTCAGAAATTTTTGATTACTTTGAGGTCTATTTAAAGCATTTACAGATGTTTACTGTAAGTTAACTGGCATGATATTACACTAGTTATCTCTTTACTGGTGTAACAGAGTGATTCTAGACTACTGCATTTGCCCCGTAATTCCTGCTTTGTCAAAAATGAGTACTACTGAGCTGGAGGTCTTGACTTCTGCACACTAGTGCTTTGGAGTCTTAAGGTATCTCAATATGCAGATTTCAGAAAGAACTATTCTTTCAAGAAGTTAAACATCATCACTGAATCTGTAGACTAGAAAGATCTTCAAGAATATTCCTGGTTTTTATATTGGACAAAATGAGTGCTTACATCTGCCCCTTTATTCTTAAGATGTGAAATTAAGACTTTGTTCTTAATGGACTTGCTGGGCTCCAGTTCATGGTACCTGTAAGTCTTTTCATGAAGTCTTTAGCTTTTCTTAGCAGTTTCTTTTGGTTTGTTATTTCCGACGTACATTTACTTTCTGTCAGTTCATGGTGGTTTACGTGCTTGCCCTCTCTTAACTCCTGAGGCAAGAGAACATTATTCCAAATTATTCCTTGCCATGGTTGTACATTGGTTAGGTTTTAATTGTCCGGTACACTACTTCAAAAGTTATAATTCTGTTCATACCTGACTGCATTTTCTGCCCAGCTGCTTTCATTCGTTCCTCTCCACTTTGGGAAATTTACTCTTGAAAGAAATAGCTAATTTATTGCAACTTTGAAATGTTACTATAACAACTCCTTTTATGTAAGAAAATGCTTTTTCTGCAGAAAAGTAGGTATTGGTTCTTCAGCTGCATAGATACATCATATCATTGACTTGTTTACGGTAGTAATCCTGATGATCTTATTGTGTGCTCACCCTCTTGTATTCACAAGTGATTTTCTTCTAATTCCAGACAGCCAGATGTGCCACAGACACAACCAAAACCTGCTGTTCCTGCTCCTCCAGAAGCAGCTCCTGTTGCCAAATCATGGGCCAACACCAAACCAGGTGGACAAGATGGTAAGTGATGTTCAAGGTGGAGGGGTTCTTGACTGGCCTAGCAGGCTGTGAATGCTGCTATGAGAGACCCAGACTCAGCAACCAATTGAGTCTTGACTGGGCCAGTTAGGACTAAGAATGCTGTGGAAGCAACTGTCTTGGCTGGCAGGTGAGCCCGGTCCCTTGTCACTCAAGTGAGCTCCAGCCTGATTTAGCAGCAGGTCTGACTGCCTTTTGAAGGGCTGGCACAGCTGCCTTTTTTGGATTCAAAGGGAAACGGTGGTGACAGCATAAGATCTTGAATACGACTGTGATGAGCAGGGGAAAATCTCAGTCAGTAGTTTATAACTCATACAATTTTGGCTTGGGAAGGAGAAACATAAAGAGTTAATGGTGATTCTGGTCATGATTTTGGATTGTTTTATGCAAAATGTGTGTAGTGCTTCTATTTAAATGTCTGCTACAACAATACTTTTCCCTTTATTTTATAGATTCCTTGGTTATGTTGTTTTCAGAGTGATAGTGTTCAAGTAAGGTTGGGTTGTTTTCTGGGAAACACATTAAAGGTGTATTTTAGGAGGTTTTTTTAAGCATAATTGTATGAAAGGATGGAGAATTATTTCCATTAGTGTGAATGTTAGCTCGAGTGTTTTCATTACAGATGTAAGATCAGGTCTAAATCTTTAGCAGATTTTTTAAATTGCTTGTAGAGTGAGAGGATACTTCAAGTTCTTGTGTCTCCATTATGAAAAATAAACTATGACATGTTTTATTCCTTAAATTTGAGATCTGCAAGCTTTCTGTAGCTATAAAATAAAGTTTTGGCTTCCAAGTTGAAGAAGTGAGCTCTCTTCTGGATTGAGATCTTAGAATAGTACAATCTGAATTGCATGAAGGTAACTTCTAAGCCATTAATTATTTGGAGTTTGTTAAAATGGCATATCTAATGATTTTCCTTTTTTTTTTTTTGCAGTAAGTGTTAACAATGACAATTTTAGATTCTCAGCTTCTTGCTCTCTTCTGTAATGTTCACTGCTTCCTTCATTGTCAGATATAGGGACTCTTGTCCTTAAGTTTCTGCAGGAGCTTTATAGAATAAAACAACAAAGGAATTAATACTGATGCAAAGTGATCTGCATAGCAGCCTTTCTACATAAGCTGATAACATCATCTCTGTGACACAGGAAATAGTGATTCGGCTCAGTGGCTTCAAAATGCATTTAGCTAATTATTTTGTAGTTACCATGGCAGCTTCTGTGCCAAGCCCAGATGGTGCCCTCATTTCATTCAATTAAAGCAGTAGTGGGTTTGCTGTTTCAGGAAGAAATGCAGTGTATGGATTGGCATCAGCTGCTTGCTCTCCTCCTCAGTTTGAAACTCAGGGTACACCTGTTGTGCTCATGCTTTCCTGATCTGCAGTTGGCTGGAGGAACTTGTAGTGTTTCCAGATGCCTTGTATGCTTTCCAGCAGTCATTCAGCCGGCTGCCTTTTGCTCTTGTAAGGCTTCATTTGAGTGAGGCAAGACTGAATTCTTCTCTGATGCTGTTGGTGGCAATGTAGAAAGAAAAGACTTCTATAATGTAACTGCAGAATGCAGTGGCTAAGAGTTGGGGTTAATTGATACCATACATATTCTGAATTCTTTAACTTTTTCCTGAACAATCTGGCTATTTCAGGTTGATAGCCTAAGTGCTGTCAAGCTGATCACTGAGGATGCTATTACTTGCAGGTAAAACATTGTCACTGTTACTGTGCAGACTTGAGCAGCTGTCCTGGGTTTGGCCAGGACAGGGTTAATTTTCACCGGAATTCAGGAAAGGGCACAGCCAGGCGGGCTGACCCCACCTGGCCAAACAGAGCCGGGCATTCCATACCAGAGTGCGTGGTGCCGGGCCGGTCCGGGAGAGCGGCTCTGTGGGTTGTGCGGTTTGTGTTGTGTTTTCTCCTCATCTGTATCGTTGTTGTTCCTGTTCCCTTTGTTTGCTGTTCTGTTAAACTGCCCTTACCCCGACCCACCAGTTTTTGCCTGGTTCTTTCCATGCTCCTCCGCACCCCGGCGGGGGGGAGGGATGGTCGCGTGGTGCTTTTGTTGCTGGCCGTAGCCAAACCATAACAGCAGCAAAATTTTTTGGGGATTCATAAAACTCATGAGTGTGGCATGCCACAGGACCTCTGAAGAGACTTCCTTGTCTGGCAGGCCATCTAGTTACCGTGAGTGCAGTTTCCAGTCCCATTAAGCAAGTTGTTGGATGTAGCTGCTTGGGAATGTCAAGAGTCCAGTTACCATTACAGAAAAAGCCAAGTAAACGTGATCCGTAGTAAGTGAAGTTCGAATGAAGATTGAAAGATTTCAAGACAAGTAGTAGACACAGGGATAGATAGTGGTATTTTCTGTCATGTCTTTACAAAGACAGTACAACGAGTAAGGACTTTATACTGTGCTTGACTCTTAATCTTCAGGAAAAAGAAAATCCAGGATCCCTGTGATTTATTGTTACGAAGGACTCTTTCACAGATTGGAGAGAATAGAAGCTTTTCTAGCTGTTAGCCAAAACAAAAACCCCTGTATCGTGGGGATTGGGGGATTTTGAACAGCATACGTTTAGAACCCTTTTTGTGAGTTTGCCCTCTAGACTATGTAGCCTAATAAGATGTCTCTTCCAACAGCCAGTAGTAAAAACCAGGTATAGGAACAGGGCATTATATGTTGGAATAGAAATCTTCTGTCAGTAAGATTATCAGTGATTTGGTACTGGAATGATGTTGACCTAATAGATAAATACCCATTATGGAGGGGGGTTGATTCAAAATAAATGCTTACAAAACCTGCTAAAGAGGAAGATGGTCTGTAATATGGCTTCCCTACCATGTGCAACAGAAGTCTTAAATCCCAATCCAGAGTTACGATGTCAAGGGTTTTAGAAATCAAAGAATGCTACAGTTCTGATACTTTTCTCATAATGTAAAAGCTGTGGCCTTGTGAAGTCTTCAAGAATTATTTTTCATTAGAACAGTAGGTAATGCTAGAGGCTTTTGCAGTGACATAGCTGCCCGTTCTTGGGTTGACTATAGCTGTAGAATAAAACAAGGGAAAACTTTGTCGGGGAGGAGTTGTTAATAGAGCTGAGGAACTTCAGGTGCTCCCTGTATAAAGTCTTGTTCCATTGTACATTTTTGCTCTCTGGTGCTTCTGAATTTTTCTCAACCTCAACAGATGTAACAGTTGGCCTAGTAAATTCAACAATTTTGGTTGTGAATGCTTTACAGGGATTGCTTTTTGCTTATATGAGTTGTGTTACCAGTAAATTGATGTGGCTTTAAGGTTCGTTTTTTAAGGATGATCAGGCTTTTATCACTTTCTGAAATGTGGTGACTTTGTGAATATCTTACTGCGTAGGTCCAGCTATTCCAGTAAATAGTTATTTCCAGCAAGAGTTTCCCAGTCTGCCGGCAGCTGGGGATCAAGAAAAGTCAGGCAAAGACAAAGATGCACCTGAAGACCTCCATGGATCAGGACCCAGCTTGCGACCACAAAGTAAGTATATACTACAAATTGTTGTGAGATTGTATAGATTTGTGTGGAACTCGGTTATTACAAGATTGCTTGTGCCCTGTACAAAATAAATTGAGGAATTTATTGTTTTAATCAACACACTCCTACACTGAAGAAACAGATTTTTGGGGCATTCTTCTGTTTTACCGTGTTCCTGGTGTGTGGTAAATAGGGTATTTAATCCTATCCTGTAGTTCGCTTTCCATTTTCCCAACCTAGTCAGTACTCCACTTGTGCTCTGAGGAGTGTTAGTTAGTTGCACAATACTGGAATTTTCTTAATTCCAGCTGCTAGAGGTCACAACAGCTAAAATACGTATTTAAAGAAACCTCCTAATATGAACTAATTATACAAATCATCATTAGCTTTGTCCCCACATGGTTAGTATTCAGAGTACCCTGAAAAATCCTGAACAGGAAGTGTAATCTACAGGATACTAAAAGAGCGGACTGAGATTTGAGAGGCTGAGGCATGTTTAGGTCATGGCTGAGTTGCTCTAACTAGCTGGATCTGTTTTGGCTGTGGGGGATTAGATTGAGTGAAAACAACCATAAACGTGCTGGGTTTAGATGTCTCGGGGAAGAAATGTGTATTGCTTCCCCAGATCCTTTTAATGGGAAGCCATTTGTGCCTGTTGCCAGTCAGAAATGAGATTCCCTTCTTCCTCAACAATTTGCTTTTGATGAGGTTTGATGGACTAGGGATCCTTTACTGCACTGTCTTGTGCTAGGGATAAACAAAATGTGCACTGCTTTTAGAGGGCTTGGGCTCTTAGGGAGCCTTTCTGTGTTACAGGCATCAGTCTTCCTTGATTTGTCTCAGTCGGGTCCTACAGACTGAGGCCATATGCTTGTTCAGGTCCTCACTTGATACTGATGAAAAGAGTAAGTTGTCAAGAAATTTGAGAAATGCCCAACATGAAATTAGGAAAATAGCTGCGCGTGTCTGTTCCAGCCTCCCGCAGGCAGTTAGAGTTTTGGTCAGCACTGTACATGCTATATTAAGCCCTTTTTTCCGGCCTGACAGCAGAAAGCTGAATGAGCTTGGCAAGTACTGCTCCTTTAGCAGCTGTGCTTCCCAGCAAAGATAAATCAAAGAGCTGTAATGGATAGTTAGGATTATAGTTTAACACTGCTTAAAGAGTTTGTGCACCTAAAGGAGCATGATTTACAGTGTGCGTCTGAATTTTTGTTGGTCCCTGTGGATCTGAACACTGCTGCTAAGTTGACTCTGTTTTTTTAGTCTTAACTCATGCTCTGTAGGCAGAAACTTCTAAATGAACGGACTGCCTGCCACAAGTGATAGGTCATTAAAATCCTTTAGTTTTCCTGGACTTTTTGCTAGATGTTCACACCTAGAAGTACAGCCCTCAGCACTTCTATTCCATCCTTATCAGACAGAGATACAAGCCGGACTCTGGCTACCTGTCTTCACTTAGAAAGGTTATGCGCAGGTGTATGTCATTTTGAGCTGCTGGAGAGTTTTGTGGTAGGCCTTCGCTGCTTAAGAAGCTTGATGTTTCCTTTGACAAGCGTCTTCACTCTGAGTCAACAGTGGCTCATTTACCACAGCTAAATCTGTTTTTTCTCCTGTGCTATTATCAGTATCCTTCCTAAATTGCATTGTGTTTTGGAAGGTAGAGTGGGACAACTAGAGCAGTCTATAAATGTAACTCTTACCCTTCAGGAACATAGCTGGATGTAGGGTTGAAGAGGGATAGAAAATAGCCTCTGTTTTCTCAAGTGGCCATTGCTTGCTTCAGTACCAGCTATGAATGTGTGTCTGCACAGATTCCCTATGTCACTGAAAACTGGGTAGGAAGAATGTGATTTTCATTATGCCTGTCTGTAAATCTGTAATATAAAGTCTGTTCTTGGTTTTTTTCCTCGTACTGATTCTGTCCATGCAGATGCTACTAGTTGGAGAGAAGGTGGCAATAAGAGCAACTCACCTGGTTCTCCAACTGATCAGGAAGCTAAGGCTCTTGGACAAGAAGATGGTAACGCTACACCAGCAGAACAAAATGATGGCCAGAAGGCAGCAGAAAAGAGGGATGTGCGCTTACCACAGATCCCTCAGCCCAAGCTGAATGGCCAGCAGCAACCACCTATCTCCTCTCAGTACAGAGCAATGATGCCACCTTATGTAAGTGACGGTTACATGAAAAGTCTTTAAGCAGCGGGATTGATTATTGGCTAGTGTGATTTCCTTAGGCCCTTTTCTCCTCCCTCCATTTCTGCTGGAAGGGTGGGATTGCAACCAACTCCTTAAAGGACATGGCTACCTGTTGCTGCTCCTGCTACACTCAGTTTGAACTTGTCCAGAGTTGATTTAACACTTGTAATCACTCCGCGTTGGTGACTTGATGTTCATGCCCTTGTGATATTAAGCAAACTGTCTTGAGTGAAGAGTCTTGCTTTACTTCCATTGTGATTCCTTTGATCTCATTGTGCTTAATGCAAGGATATTTTTTAACGAATGGCTGCTGTTTTTTAAACCTTTCTTAGATGTTTAATCAGTATCCTAGAATGGCATATCCTCCTTCCTTGCAAGGTCCAACAAGATTTCCCAATTCTGAGCCTAGCAGGTAAGAAACCTTACGAGTGGTGTTGTGTGGGTGTAAACTCTGACTGGGGCAGGAAGCAAAAATTTACACGGAGTATCTGGATTATGATCATACACTGCATAAGAGCTGCCACTGGTTAATCTCACAATTTTTGCTTGTGTGGACCAGTGCCATGGAGTGGTCTGTGTTTGATAACTCAACTGCAAAACTTGAGGGTATTTTGCATGTTACAGAATTTTCGATTGGGAAGAGCAGGAGTCATCTGGGGACACGTTTGAAACTTCAACCAATATTTTGCTTGTAAAAGGACTCTTCCATTGTTGTTATAAAAGTGGTTAAGTCCTGATTCTCAACTCTGCTGCTCTCCAATTAAAGTACAACTGTAATGCATTATAAAACTAGTTTACCTCCATGTGTTTCTCCATAGTTGAGGATGTCTTTCCATGTGTGTGAGAAAATAGGGGATGCTGTAAGCAACAGAGTACAAACTTTGACAGGCAATCTGTGGTTGGGATCAGGAAGAGGGCGGAAAGGCTCAGAGACTGGGAGAACTCGAGTATAGGAGTAGGGAGAAAGCACAGAACCTTTGACAGTGGGAGAGCATGAAAAGTATAAAGAAATGTCTCTGAGGTGGATAAATTGGTGTTAAGAAGGATGCCAGATCTATGCAGTGTGTTGTTTGAAAGTTGCAAGGCATGTGGTTTTCTGCTGTCAGCTGACATTTGGCTTGTTTGTGAAGTGTGCAAGCAAGGCTATAGCATCTGATCTTTCTCTTCCATAACGAACCATCTGGTGGTGTAGCAGTAATTATTTGAACTACAATAGTCGCACGTGTGGATGATAGTTCAGATTTATACTGTATTTGAAAGAACAGTACTGTATACTTCAAATAATTGTCATACAAGTTGACCTTTTATCTAGTCATTCTGTGGATAAATGGTGAAATTGGCCTTTGTCTCTTTTTTTAGAGGGCCAAGGGGAAGAGGACCACCTTCGTGGTGTTCAGAACCTATTGAGCGCCCATCCATTCTTAGTGCTAGTGAACTTAAAGAACTTGATAAATTTGATAATCTAGATGCTGAGGCTGATGAAGGCTGGGCAGGTAAGCACATCAGATTAATGGTTTCTGTTATTTGTACATTGAATCTTTCTGAAAGTTTAATAGAATATTTGCGTATGTATCAGGTGCTCAGAGTGAAGTGGATTACACTGAGCAGCTGAACTTCAGTGATGATGATGAGCAAGGAAGTACTCAGAAAGAGAAGGAAAGTGGGTGAGTTGTTGTTGCTGATTGGATGCGAGTGCTACTTACCTAGCATAGCTTTTGGGAAGGTTGAATGAAATAAGTGCAAGTACTCATTCCAGTAATTTAATACTGTATTGAGTTGCATAACTGCCTGCAGACTGCAGTCAGCGGGGCATGTTATAGAAATGATCCTTGTTGTGAGGAAGTTTCGCTCTTGATAAGAAACGTTGAGGGTAAAAGATAAATCACCAAAAACCTGTGCGGAGTACACCTTCCATTTTTCTAATTTCTTTGCATATAGTGATGAACAAACACCATCAAAAGATTCCCAGAGTCCTGATGGCCAGAAGGAAGCAGAAGACCAGACAAGTGCTAAATCTGCCACCCAGGTTTCCACAGCAGCAACCAAAGGGTCTTATGGCAAAAGCTCTCAGCTTGATCAGGTTTGTGTGGTGTTCAGCTCTTCTGGCAACAGCCTCATCAGGAGAGGTCCGACTCGGGTGTCTTTCCAAACTGTCAGGTCATTTAAGGTTATGAACATGAGTGAAAGCATTAGCTACTGCTTATCTGAGCTGTGGTAACTGATCGGGTGCTGCTTAGTCAACTTAGCTGCTCCTGGTCACAAAGTAAAAATAGCATGTCTTTATCTAGTGTGTTCTAATCCACGGTTGTGAGGGGGTGAGAACTCTTGTGTCAGTTACTGCGACTCAACTGACAAGCTTTAACTCAAATCTCTTGTCTGTCCATCCTTGTAACAGCGAATGAAGCCGATCTGGTGTCCGTCATGTTTTATAGTGGCACAGAGTAAATAGTGCCCAGCTGGCCCACATGCTTTTCCTGGGTGTGCAGGGGTTTTTTTGGTGTTGTGACCTACTTTATTCAGTGCAACTTAGCAGTAATGTGTGAGCTCACTTCTGACATCTCAAGCATCAGACCTATGCAGACCATGTAGAATTCATCAGCTCAGCTGTTTTGGATTTTAGTTTATCCTCTAGCAGAGGAAGATTAGCAACTACCTTGGTTTATGTTTGCTTCAGCTTCCTCCCACGCCAAAAAGCTACTGTTGACTGTATCTGAAATTTTCCCAGACATATTTTCTCTTGACGCCAGTAATAATGAAGATGGGAGATAGAACTGGTTTTACTTGCACTTTCTCTGTATATGAAGATCATGTTGTCTTTCAGGGTTTGATGCTACATGGAATCTGAGGAAAAACAGTGCAGTAACATAAACTCTGAAATCTGGATGTGGGTATATGTAAAGTAATTGTTTAGCTCTCAGTACATAAAGTGGAAACACTCTTGCCCTTGTTCTGCATGTAAATTTGTATCTTACGCAGATAATTCACTAAGTGTAGTATGCTGGTGTAGTAGAAAACAGTAAATCTAAAATTTGTCGGCTTGACTGTTAACAAGCTTGCTTAACCCTGGTACTGTGTTTGATCCAATAGGATCGGGGCCCAGCACAGCCTTCTCTACATGAAAGAGGCGGTCCTGCTCTTCATCCGAAATCTAGTCTACCACCGGTAAGAAAGATTAGAATTGTCCTTATTTCCTTGAGTTAAAGTATTTAATGCTATGGTGGAGGGTTTTAGACTGAGAAAAATAAAAATATGCTTCATATAGGCATAAGCCTTTTCTTTAACAAATAAAATGATGGTAGTGCCTGGGGCCAGTAAGAATGGAACCCCAATGCAGCCGTGCTGCTAAGTGTGTAAAGCAGCCCCATATTGTAAGTGGTGTATGAAATGTATGAGCACTTCAAGAGCTTTCAGTTATCCAGCCCCGTTTGGGAACTGGGGAGCACAGGGGCACGTGAACGATGCTGGAGGCAGATGGGGAGATGAAGTCCTGAATGAAATGTGTATGTAGTAGCTTCTTACCAATTTTCAACAGTTCTTATTAAAATCTCAGTTGTCCTGAGCTACCTTGAATTTCTCTGGCTCCTGAGGGGGGACGTTTTTCTGAGATCTGCCCTGAGGCTCTGATTTAGAGCAGCCTGTGTCCAAATCTAAAAGATGTTTGTCATCTTTGCTGTCACTTTGCCTTAGTGATGGGGAAGAGTGACGTGAGCTCAACTGAATCTTTACCTCTCCTTTCTCAGCTCAGGTTGCATGAGTCTGAACTGGAGGAGGAAGGTGGGGGCTTGCTTTTTCTTCCAAATCTTGCTTTTTGAAGGTGCCGTGCAAGTACATGTGTTGACAAATAGTTAAATAGAATATTTCAGCTGGTTGTTTATAGAATACATGCTCAACTTAACTGGTTTTAATATTGCAGCACCCTCCTCCTCCTGATCGCCAGGTAGGACCTGGAAGGCAGGGACCCTTTCCCCCTAAACCAGTACCAGATGAAGATGAAATTTGGAAACAGAGGAGAAGACAGCAGTCAGAGATATCCGCTGCAGTTGAGCGAGCTCGTAAGCGGCGAGAAGAGGAAGAAAGAAGAATGGAAGAACAGAGAAAAGCAGCTTGTGCTGAAAAGCTAAAACGGTTAAATGAGAAATTTGGCTGTGTGACAAAACCCTCCCGGGAAGACCCTCTGAAAGACAGGGAGAGGGAGAGGGAGCGGGAGAGGGAAAGGGAGAGAGAAAGAGAGCGGGAGAGGGAAAAGGAGAGGGAGCGGGAGCGAGAGCGCGAAAGAGAAAAAGAGAGGGAGAGGGAGAAGGAAAAGGAAAAAGAGAGGGAGAGGGAGAAGGAAAAGGAAAAAGAGAGGGAGAGGGAGAAGGAAAAGGAAAAAGAAGAAAAAGAAAAACTGGAGAAGGCACAAGAACAAGAAATGGAGAAAGATAAAGAAAAGGAGATGGAGAAAGAAGAGAAGGAGAATGAGAAAGAGAAAGAGGAGGAGAAACCAGCACATGAGGTTCCTGAGCCTCTAGAACCTGTGACAACACCTGTAGTAGAAAAACAAGAAAGTGAAACCAGGAGTAACAAGGAAGAAAAAGGTATGCTTGCACGTAAGTAGGAGTTGTCTGTCTTAAAGCCGAGCCACAGATCATAGTTGTAATCTAGGAGTCTAATTTGCGTACCTAATTAACCTGGTGCATTTAGACCATCTATTTTCCTGGCACATTAAGCTGCTAACTGTCCTTTGAGCTGGACCTGTTTGCCCAACCCATCAAAAAGTTAAAGGAAAAATTGGGATCTGTGATTTAGGCTGGACTTTGAAGAGTACAGAAAGCAAAGCAGGCTTTCTTGCTAAAGAAGGGTCAGCAACTCATGTTGTTAAAAAGCAATGTAAATTATTTCAGCTATTCTGTTTTTTCAGAAAACCTAGAGAAGTAGGCACACAGAGCATGTATTTAAATTTGGTGCATTTTTTGTAGTGGAACTTGAATGCCACAAGAGAACTGTTAGACTGTGCTTAATAAGGTTGTGTTATCCTTTAAATGGATAAAAGTGGTTGCAAAACCAAAACTTGGTTCATAAAAAAAGTAGATTGAAATGTAATATGATAGTATTGATACAGCCTTCTTAAATCACATAATAGTTACAACCTAAATGCCAGTGGTTGATTACCCAGTGTATCTGAGTTTAAAAGGGACGCTGAGAAATGTATTAACAATTGTGCTGTTTTGAGGGGTTGTTCTTAACTTTTTTTTGCCTTTATTGGTTTTGGAAACTGACTGACGTTCCATAAGGCAGACTGTTTTCATTTTAGAATATCCTTGATCTGACATTCTGGTGGAAATGTCATAGGTTTAAGATTCACTCCTGTCTCCCACATGTGGGGTGATTTTTTTGTGTGGTTTTTTTGTTTTGTTTTTTTTCAGAAGATCAAACAGTCTTTACCCGGCAAGATAGTGGTCGGAATGAGAAAGAAATTTCACAGGTGACACATGAGAGTGAGCCAGATTCAGGATCTCAGCCTCGTCCTGCTGTTTCCTCAGGCTATTCTAAGCAGTTCCAGAAATCATTGCCACCAAGATTTCAGAGGCAGCAGGTAACTAACCAGTTCATTAAAAGGATGATGTCTTCTGCCTCGTTCTGAACAAGAACTTGACCATAGAAGTTTCAAAAAGCTGAAGTTGTTGCTTTCCAGCTTCTGTAAGACCTGTAGTATTGGCAGGAATTGCTCTGCGTGAAATGCTGCTTGTCACTTCCAAAGTATGTAAGTGAGCAGGAGGCAAGAGAGGCTTTGAGAACTGGCCATTTTTGCATCAGTTGCTGAAGTAGAGCATAGCCCTGTGGTTATGGGGAACCTGTAGTTTGGTGGTCATTGTTTCTGCAGCTTTTCCTTAAAGGGCGTGACACTCACTAATGTGATTTGGACTTTGGTCCTATGGCCTGAAGAGCACTTTGCATTCATGACATGCATGAATGAAGTATAGGTCTTTCTGTGTCTCAGCTGAGCACCAGCAAAACTGTAGCTATTCTAAATTGTCCAGTTTGGTTTTCCCCCTTTTCTCCAAGCTCATCCTGATGCATGTTTGAGATTAATTTTCAGAATGCTTAGTGTCCTGAAGATAACTGTACTCGTATCTAAGGGTTATTTGAATTCTGCTCTTCATCGTAACAAAAAGTTGTGTAATACTGTTTTCTGTTACGCAGGAGCAAATGAAACAGCAGCAGTGGCAGCAACAACAAGGTGTCCTTCCACCGTCTGCTCCCTCGCAGCCTTCCAGTGGCCCTGTCCCGCCTCCCCAGCATAGGCCCCTTTACCAGCCCATGCAGCCACATCCTCAGCATTTAGCTTCAATGGGCTTTGATCCACGGTGGCTTATGATGCAGTCTTACATGGACCCACGAATGATGTCAGGAAGACCTGCAATGGATATGCCGCCTATTCACCCAGGTGAAATCTGGCAGCATTTTTTGACTGCTGAACTTTTTCATAGTAGCATCAAATGGGTGGGTTCTTTTAAAAAGAAAACTGTGTTATTTCATTGTTTTGAGACAAAATAGATTTTAGTAATACCGGAAAAATGATAGTCATGTGTCAATGTATATCTTTGACTATAAAGTAAAATTGTAGCTTTCTGCAGTATTGCAGGCATGTTAGTGACGGTTAAGGATGTATTCAGAATGTCAGCAAAAGCCTTACTTTGCTACAGATATTAAAGCTGGTATGAGTTAGGTTGAACTGAGAAAAATAGTGTATTTACCATTTGTGTTTCATTACATGTTAGCCCTGGATACTATATTCTTAATCTAAAATAAAACATGGAATTCTGCTGTATTATGTATTAGCACCTCTTACTAAGTCTTAGTAAATTTGTGTTTTCAGATTCTTGGCACTAAAGTCCCTTTTAATTTGTGGAATGGCCATGTGGCTTGCAGTTAGGAAAGTATTGTGCATAAATAATACAAGTCTGGCATGTAATATAACAGAGATACCCATTCCCTTGCTCATTAGCTGTCTAAGTATCGTGAATGAGTGCAAAGAAAGAACAGAGTAAATGGCAGGCTAAGCAAAGACAGTGAAAACTGTAGAATTTCTTTAACATGTTATAAAAAAAAATACCCAGAGTCCTTAATAAAAAATTACCTGTGTGTACACTCATCTTGCCTTTTGCAGTTCAGATCTTTCATCAGAAACTTCATCCACAAGTTTACAGGTCTACAGACCTGGTTCATCCCATTGTAGTGGAAGCAGGCAGCTTTTCTTTTGCTGGTGCATAGGGTATAGGGTACTAGTGCTGAATATTTTTTAGTCATTCTTAGGTCAGCTGGCAGTGAATAGACATTTAGTTTCAACCACAGGAGGTACAGAGGAAAGGAGATTGGAGGAGAGAGGATAGTTTTCTTCAGTACCTCCTGATACGCTTTGTTTGTCTTGAGGTAGGTTTCTTTGCTTGTGTTAAACTGATTTCAATTGTTGAACTTGCATCTGTCACAGGAATTATGCCTCCCAAACCACTGATGAGAAGAGACCAGATAGAGGGGTCAGCAACTAGTTCAGATTCATTTGAACATATAGCTCGCTCAGCAAGAGAGCACGCTGTTCCTTTGTCGGAGCCCCGCATGATGTGGGGGTCCGACCCGTACCCCCATGCAGAACCTCAGCAATCTAGTTCTCCTCCCAAAGTGTTAGAAGAGCCTGACGATTTGAGGTAAGCCTGAGTTACATATTCTTGCGTGTCACTTCTCCAAGCCATGCATACTTAACATGCTTGGCTGTGTAACTTACGTTGCAAAATGCAGTTTAAGCTGAGTTATAGCTGCTCTTCACACAAAACTTTAAAAGGAGTTGTGGCTGAGGGATGCAGTGGACTTGGCGCTGTTGTATAAAACAAAAGACATGCCTGCTTTGTAGTGGGGTGCTGAAGGACTTTTTGCCCCTTGTTTAGGATCCTTAACCTAGTTTGATGAATGGTGATTGCCATAATATTTTGAATTTTCGGGTTTGTACAACACTTTTGCAGTGTTGTCCTGTTCTCCATCCTCCCCATATCAGAGAACTTCTGTCTGATATATATTAGTTTTGAAAGTGGTGTGTTAACTACAGTGGTACAAAGCAAGACAGTCACTTTTGAGTTTTGCTGCATGATGAATGGTCAGGAAGGCTTCCGCTACATTTTAGAAGTACCCAATAATTCTTTTTGCTGTACTGCCGTCTGGGTAATACTTGTGATATTAGCCTGCTAACTTGGAGGCTCCATTTAAAATTGCATTTATAGCCATTAACAATAATAGATTCCTAAAGCTAATTGTACATTTGACGCTGACTCTTAAATCAGGATAGAACAAAACTGACCTCTGCAACTGGCAGCCATTGTGAAAATTAATACCCATTATTTCCTTGAGCTGACATTAATCCTTCATAGAAATAGAAAATTATTTAAGTAAATATATTTTATGAGTAAAATATTCCCCCCCCACCCTAACATTTGTAATTGCTTGCTGCTTAGGTCTGAGGCACACTTGGAGCAAGAACGAGTTGCTGTCCCTGCTGCTGCTTATCCTGTAGAACACAACCAGTTGGACTCTCATCCAAAGACAGACTTTTTCAGAGAATCAGGAGAAGTGGAGGTACAAAAGTTCCCAAGCAGGCCTTTGGAAGATGTACAACCTCTGCAAACTGACACACCTAATACGGCAGTTAATTTTGAAGGAGTAAATGAGACAGTTACACATAGCTCTCCAGAAGAATTGGTGCCTGTGGGGGAAAGTCACTCTTCACTAAAGAGAAGCATTTCCCATGGTTCAAGTCACTCTCTGAAATCAGAAGACCAGAGGAATGAGACGGCAATGAATATCCCTAAATTAAATAACAGGCCTATTGAGACAAAGGACACAATTGAGAGACTTGAGATTAAGCCAAAAAAAGAAATTTTGATCAGTAATAGAACATCAGAAGGACCAAAACCTGAAAAAACTTTTAAACTGAAGTCTGAAACAAGATGGGGTCCTAGGCCAGGTTATGGCAGGAGAGATGAAGGTGGTGAGAAACCAGTGAGAAGATCGGGTCCTATTAAAAAACCTGTGCTTAGAGATATGAAGGAAGAGCAGTCTGAGAAAATTGACAAAAAGGAAGCACCTCAAGTGCCTCTGCCTCAGGCTGAGCCAGAGACATCCGCCCCCAGCAGCGCTCCTCTGGCTAAGAAGATAACCCAGGATGCTGCTCTGACTCCAGCCAGCCAGGAGAGCAGTCAAACCGAGACCACAGCTAAAGCTCCGATTCAGCCACCCCCACCTCCAGTCTTCCCCCTGCAGCACAGCAGCAGCCGCCTGCTCAGCCGGCAGCACAGCAGCAGCCACATGTTCAGCAGCCATCTACAGCAGTGAAGGAAGAAAAGCAGACTGAGAAGGTTGTTAGCAAGGAGGCTGTAGAGAAACCACGCTTGGAAACCAGACCAGTCAAAAGAGAGCCTGGCTTACCACCTAGGACATACTGGAAGGAGGCTAGGGATAGAGACTGGTTCCCAGATCAGGGATACAGGGGCAGGGGCCGTGGGGAGTATTATTCCAGAGGTCGTAGCTACAGAGGTTCTTACGGAGGACGTGGTCGGGGCAGTAGGGGCCACAACAGAGAGTACCCACACTACAGAGATCCTAAGCCTAGATCAGACCACGTGCCTTCAGGGCCTGTTAGGCAGAGAGAAGAGAGTGAAACTCGTAGTGAGAGTTCCGACTTTGAAGTAATCCCAAAACGGCGGCGACAGCATGGGTCGGAGACAGATTCTGACAGTGAAGTTCACGAAAGTGCAAGTGACACGCTGCTTTCAGACAAAGACAGTCTAATCAAAGGCAAGCACCCAAAAAGAGAAGAGAGAGCTGATAGCAAGAAACCTCCAAAGCCCTTGTCATTCAAACCTGAAAACCATATCAGAGTAGACAACAGATCCCTAGAAAAAACGTATATAAGAGATGACGAGAACAAGCCCAAACCAGGATTTCTTCCTAAAGGAGAGCCTTCTAGACGTGGCAGAGGTGGAATATATAGACGTGGTGGCAGGGATCCTGGTGGGCGCCCTCCACGTCCATCTACAATAAGGAGACCACCCTACAGAGACAATCAGTGGAACCCGAGGCAAACAGAGATCATTAAACCAGAAGATGCGGAGCCTCCAAGAAGAAATGAACATTACGGTCCTATACCAGTTGATAAAAGACCTCCAAAATTTGAGAGAAAGTTTGATCCAAACAGAGAGAGGCCACGAAGACAAAGGCCTGCTCGACCTCCAAGGCAAGATAAGCCACCACGCTTTAGGCGCCTGAAAGAAAGAGAGGCCGCATCAAAGATAAGTGAGGCAGTAACCAGCTCATCGACAAGTGCCACAGTTAGTAATGCAGTTAGTGAGCCCTCCAACACTGCTATGGATGTGTCAGGAAGTAAGACACCAGACTTGTCCAACCAGAATTCTTCAGACCAGGCAAACGAAGAGTGGGAAACAGCCTCAGAAAGCAGTGACTTCAATGAGAGGCGGGAGAGGGATGAGAAGAAAACAGCAGATGTAGCAGCACAGGCGGCTGCAAAGGTAGGAGAAAACGCTGGAGCCCCAAAAAGGGAAATAGCCAAGAGAAGTTTTTCTAGTCAACGGCCTGGCATAGACCGTCAAAACCGACGTGGCAACAATGGGCCAGCTAAACCAGGGAGGAACTTCACGGGGCCTAGGAGTGAAAGGCGGAGTGGTCCTCCACCCAGAAGTGGAAAAAGAGGGTGAGTACCAGCTTCTGTTCAGAAGCACATATGGTCTTAGTCTTGTGTTGTCCTCTTGTTGTTCAAAATGATTAGTAGTTATTTTAGGTTTGTAATAACTGTTAGAAAGGAGAATAAGACAAACACATGCGTACTTCCTATTTTTTCTGTTTATCTACAGACACTTGAAACATGGAGCTGAGAGCAGAGTATTCTTGTATGTATGCACAGTGTTAAAAAGCCTAGTTAAAAAAAAATGCAGAACTGTTTGAGTCGAGCTGTTTCTCAAGGTCTGGATGCAAGCTGAAATGTTAAGCAGTTTTGCAGTTTAAGACATAGATTGCTGCATTGCATTTTGCTTTTTATGTTCTTAGATCAATGACCTAATATAGATGAGCAAGTTGAGAAATACTTGCCATTGAGACTAAGTTTTATTACTCTATATGCTAAAATTTATTGAAACTTGACAATTATCTAATGTTACTATTTTCCCACTGTTTTATAGCCACAGTGCACAGTAGTCTGACAAGTGTGAGGCAGGACAAGACATTTTTTCATTGGATGCCTACCCTGTACTCTAGGGTCTTGTACTTGCATGTTCCTTTGTTCTAAGTTCAGGTTTTACCTGGGCTAAAGGTGATGTTAAGGCAAAAAGCTGGGTATTTCAGGTTCCACATCAAAGTCAGAATGCTGCAAATTGATTCTTACAGCTTCACATAGCTTTTGACATGTGAGCTTGTGGAGCAAGTGTATTGTACCTTGTTTATATTTGCTCACGTTGCATACTGTAAGCTTCTGTTTTGTTTTTTTCCATGGAAGACTTTACTGGAGTTCTGAACTGCATACTTGAGTTTTGGTGTCTCTCCAGAGTTGACCTTAAATTTATGCTTCTTCTAGTGTTTCTTTTTGGCAGCAAGGCGTTTGATATGTCCCCAGAACACCTTTTGCTGTTGAGCTTCTGCTCGTTGATGAGCTGAAAGTAAAAGTCTGGAGCCTACTAAGGAAGTTGCACAGTAGGCTCCTGTAACCCTATAATGTGATCTGCATTAGATTGTTAGCTCCTTCCTGAGTGTTCTCTGTGGCTGGTTTTGAATTTTCCCTTTTTTTTTTTTTTTGTTTTTCCTAATACAGGCCATTTGAAGAGCAGACAGCAACTGTCCCTGGTGTGGATCCCACCAACAGCAACTCTGTACATCAGGAGGATGGAGGTGTTACTGCTGCAGGACAAAAGAACACCAAGGATGCAAGTGGCAAAAAGAGAGAAGAGCCTAAGGCTGGTCCAAAGAAGCCTAAGGAAAAAGTGGATGCCTTGTCTCAATTTGATCTAAATAATTACGCAAGTACGTACTGGTAATATGCTGACAAGAGTTTATAATCCTGCTAGCTTTCCTGCATCTAGAGCTAGATGTTTGAAAACTTACAAAAGAGGAAAGGTGATTTTTTTAAACACCAGTGTACTGGAGTATTGCTCCCTTTGGCGTATCTAATTAACAATGAGTGTGCCTTTCAAAGGTGGCAAATCTCATTGTGTGTTTTTATGTATACATAAGAACAATTTTGTTCTATTACCTAATCTTAACTCTGTTGTTCAGACCATTTTCCACCACACCAATAATTTGCTTAACCTTCATAAACAAAGGCAGTGGATATCACTGATAAACTTACAGCTAATATTGGGGAAGGCTGTTCATGATTGTTTCAGTTCTTATTTGCTGGAGAGTCTGGTACAGGAGCCTCCAGTTTTTCACTTCTTAAAGATTAACTCCTTGTCTTGAACTCAACAGCAAAGCACTTGACAAGCAGAAGCTTACCTTTAATCAGGGCCACCATCTGTGTCTGTGGGGAAATTGCTTCCACTCTAAAGCAGATTTGGCTTGGTGCCCTGCATCTGAGGCTGTTAAAACAGCAGCATCTATACCTTTCCTTTTTCTGTAGGTGTTGTGATCATTGATGATCACCCTGAAGTGACAGTAGTTGAAGACTCCCAATCTAACTTGAATGATGATGGTTTCACAGAAGTGGTGTCTAAGAAGCAACAAAAACGCTTGCAAGATGAAGAGCGCAGAAAGAAGGAAGGACAAACAGTAAAGGTACAAGACAAACATTTATAATGGGAAAGAGTTCCTTGCAGTAGTGAGAATGTTGTGAAGCGTGCAGAATTTTCTTTTCCAAGAAGCTATATTTCCATCCAAGTGTAGCTAGATAGTTGTATTAATATTGAGTTGTTCAGAATTAGTAAGTGAAATTTATTTTCACTTAGTCATGTTAGGATTCCGTACTTCCTGGTTGGGCACTGTCAGGCAGGTGGAACTGGCAAACTGGAAACACTATTTTTCATATTGTGATAAAGATTTATGCTATTACTTGTATATCAGCTGATTCCAAGAGGAAAATGGATGAGAAATAAAGCATTGTTCCTGTGGTTAAATACCCCTAACAGAACCTTCTGTAAGACCTGTTTAACCAGTTTGCTTTTTGCTGCTACACAGTATACAATTGTTTGTCCATACAGACTATCAGCTGTAAGAACAAAATTTGATTTCTTCTTACAGGTTTGGACCAAAAAAGGATCAAGTGAAAAAGGCCGAGGTCAGAATTCCAAGCTCCCACCCAGATTTGCCAAAAAGCAGCAACAGGCAGCAGCTGCAGCTGCACAGCAGGCACAAACTCAAGCACAAGCTCAGGCACAGCCTCCGTGTACAACACAGACTCCAGGTCAGCCACAGGTTTCTGTTCAGCAGCAAAACCAGACTGCAGGAGGGACAGCCAGCACGGAATACACAGTGTCAGGCAAAGTTCTGCAAAACACTCAGGCTCACAATGGTCTAGGAACCGAATTATGGGAAAACAAGGTGCCTCCTACAGCAGTTCTGAATGACATCTCCAAAAAGTGTAAGTGGTGTCTTCTAGATTTGAGACAGGGTTTTGGGGCATTGTAGTTAGAGAATGCTGATTGCGTGTACTCTCCATTAATGTCTTATTTCTACCTGCGAATGTAAATGTATTTTGCATAGAGACTAGAGGGCAGTATTCCCAAGTGCAGCCTTGTAGTATCTTGGAAAAGAGATTTTTGCAGTATGATAGGACTCAGTGTTTTACGTTGTTGTCATGTTCTTCATTCACTACGAATGAGCAGCTGTCACTCCCTTCAGGAGTCTGTGTTGTCAGGCTTGGACATGCTCCCAAAGATGGTGATTGCCCCACTTGAAAGCAGCTAATAGGTAGCATTTTGTTAACTGCTGAACAGGTTAACAGTTTCTTAACCAAAGCTTATTTAATCAAGATATCTAGAATTTAATTCACAGTCAAATGATAACTTCAGTCGAATGCATTTAACAACTTTGGGTTTTGGGTTTGTTTTTTTTTTAACACTCTTTTCTTAATTGCCAGTGGGACCCATTAGCCCACCTCAACCACCTTCAGTCAGTGCTTGGAACAAGCCTTTGACATCTTTTGGTTCAGCTTCATCTCCAGAGGTAAGAATGGAGGCAAGAAGAGCAGTTATATGTGAATCTTTCCAAAATCATCTCTCGTTGGGATTGGGTGAAGATTATCCATGTATGCTGGCATGCACATACTTAAACTAGTATGTGTAGAATTCTGTGAAGTTGGGAGATAGTTCAGAAACAGAGGATACGGGCTAGTGCTTTTATGACTGCAGCATGGAAAAACTATTCTCTTAATAAAATCTCAGCCATTCACAGATTCTATTGATAGTTGTTATTTAGTGCATTTTAAAGTAAAAATAATGCCTAATTTGCATGCGAACATTTGTGTATAGTTCAGTAATGTAGACAGAAACAGGGTGTCTCCAAGGAACTAAGTGCTTTTTGTGTCCCTTTTTAAATCAGAGATATAAAAAGCAGTAGATGCTTTCTAACTGTCTTAGCTCTTCTTATCCCATGTAATTTGTGTAGTCCGAAATTTTACATTTAAAGTCCTGTGGTTTTGTTTTCTTGGGCTTTTTTGGTTTTGACTTTATAGTTTTGAACTGTAAGAATATGACTTAACTCTTTGAGAAGACCATTTTAACTGCATAAGGAGATCTGGAAATCTTTTTTAGTTTCTTACTGTTCCTCTTGAATTGAACACTAGTTTTTGAACTTTCAGGAGAGTGTTGTGAACCTGGATCTGGAATTTTGAAATTGCACTTGTCTCTCTCCCCCTTCTCTACCAGTTCGTTGCCTTGATCTTGTTTACATATTTGTTTGCTGCTTTTTTTGTTTACTCTTGAGCTGGTATAAACAGTAGGAACTTGAGGAAGAGGAAGTGTGCATTCATATATTGTTTACTCTTGCAAATCTGTTGCAGTCACAGATAATACTTTTGCTGGCAGAATATAAAAGTACCCTTTTGGTGGTTTTCAGCTGAGAGTATTTTGTGTTTTTTTCTGAACCACTGGTATTGTACAGATCAAGAAATTTTAGGAAATGTGTTAAATGTTTACCTTTTAACTAGGGGACAAAGCCTGGGCAAGAAGGTGGAGTCGATCTTGGTATAGAAACTATTCAGTTTGGAGCCCCAGCTTCCAGCGGCAGTGACAGTGAAGTTGGCCCTGTACTTTCTGAGAAGTCGACTGACAAGCTACCAGAACCGAAAGAGCAAAGACAGAAACAGCCTCGGGCTGGACCCATCAAAGCACAAAAGGTAAAATGTCTTATCTTTAGTATAAACTTTTAAACCTAAAGAAGCTCAGCCAGCAAGAGGTTATAAATACTGGAATACTCATTCGGTTAGGACTAGACCTATAAAAATTGCATTCCCCTTTTGTATTTCATAAAACGATCAGTAAGTTCGTTCTTGAAGAGAAGATAGGGAATTCAGTTCAAGAAGCAAGTGTAAGTAAACAGCATCCTAGCCCAGCAGAGTTCTGTCCATTGGCTCTGTGTTTGGAGCAAGGGATGTGGCTAGAGCAGGGATGGGCGTATGGATTTGTGATTGCTTTGAGAGACTATGGATATGGTCATGTTTTGGTTTTGTTTCATAGTTTGGGGTTTTTGGTTTTCTCTTGATCTTACTTCACTCAGGCTTTGAGAGCTGTTTTAAAGCGGGCATTCTGTTTCTGCCCTGGCTGTATCTTGTCTCAGTAGTTCTTCCTGCCACCGTGCCTGCCTTGCCCTCCTCTAAATGATGCATGGTGCCTTGCTTAGTTTTGTAGCCAGATTACCAAGATGTGTAGTACACCAAGTTGCAGGAAAAGAGTTGTTTTGAGAAGTGGGAGGACTGTTAGGGCCACTAATCTGAAGTCTCCAATTCAAAGGCATAGATGTCTGGATGATTAAATTTTTTTGCAACTACTGTAGGTAGACTGCATAGGTAATCAAACTTACTTCAATTTAAAAAAAAAGTGTATTGCTGACCCTGCAGAGATTTAGGGTCTCCATTCGTTCATCATCTTGTATTTCCATTGTTATCACTCACAAGGAGTAATATTTTCTTCTCCAGTTATTTAGATTACACTTGGTAATCTTTCATGTTAATGAAATGTACTTTCCTGTAATTTCCACCTCCAATGCGTACATATCTGTGCATCACTAATGCTCAGCACCAGCTGCTTACTCCCAGAAACAGGTAGTTATAGAAGACAAACTTGGCTGATCACTTATAGAACCAGCTATTTCAGTCCCTCTTGATGCCTGAGATTTGGCAGTGGTCCTGATGTAATTAAAGCCCTTTTCTCTTTCTAGAAGACCGGGTGTTTCTTTGTATTGGTTGTGTTTGGGGCTTTTTTCCCAAAAAAAGCTGAAATCTGAAAGTGCAATCACATTTAGAATGACTTTAACTTCTGCTGCATGAGGCACTCAGTGGGTATGCTGCAGTTCATGGGGTTTTTGCAAAATATAAAACCCCTATAGCAAAGAAATACGCAGTAGTTAATATTGCTGGCGAACTCCAGTAACCCAGCATGTTCAAAGCCCGTATCTCAGATATACTAGCAGCATGCCTAAAACAACCCCTGTGAAATCACTTAAAGATCCTGAACTCCAAAGTTAAATAGAGAGAGAGAAAGAGTCTACTTCAGTTTGCAGAAAGTTCCTTTTTTTTGGCTTGGTTGTAGCTCTCAAGACTCCTGTAGATATTGTGGAAAGACAAATGTGTGACTAAATGGTAAATTCATTGGAGATGAACGTTTTTGTGTGCTCTTCTGAAGGAGAAGGCTGTAGTCCTTTAACTGTCTTGATGACAAAGAATCCCAACAAACAATTTCTACCCACCCACCACTCCCGTGGTGATATTTGCTATGAAGCCAAAATACAAACTTATGTTCAGGGTTAGAGGTTGATATTGTTGAACTAATATGGGCAATGTAAGAGAACCGTACTTGAAACAAAGCAGTTTACCTCTCTAAATGCGACCTTAAAGTGTCTGGAGGAGTTTCTACCTCTGTAAACTGTTAGAGCAAAAAATATTTGGGGTGAGATGGATCTGATGTTCCTAACTGCTGCATTGGAGAGCTCAGGCATCTGTTTCTGCGCTTGTTTTCTTCCTTCCCTCTGAAAGCTAGTCTCTGCTGGCCTCCTGAGGGTGCCAGATACCTTTGGGGAAACTCCACCCTCCCAAAGGCATTCTGTTGTAAAGCCTTGTTGTCTACTGCGGAAAGCAGCTGGCTTGTATTTACAGAGACAATACCTTCTGTCTTTCCACTATCAAAGCTTAAGGAATAGGATTTTAAGGACTGCCTTTAAGGAATCTTTGTGCTGCTCAGTAGTGAAATGGGCTGAGTAGTCTCAGCCAGAAGAGATATGGCTATGTAAACAGCAGAGCATTCATGGTCCCTGAGGCCCTTCATTCTGCTTTAATTCAGCTGCACGAACAGGAACTAGTGAATTGCAGCAGTTATTCCAGCTCTGGTGTCTGCAATATAACACAGCACTTGCATGTAGGTGTTTTATTTTTGCTGGATATCCCTTTAGTGCTTAATTCCTAGGGAAACATGCTGCTAACATCCACACATCGAGATAGCTTCAAATGAAGGTAGAGTCTTCTGTTCTAGTTTCCTGGGGCCCTGTAAAATCCTGATTCTCTGAAAATTGAAATAACCTGTATCTATCTGAAGTCTTGTGGCTTTTTTATTTTTTTTTATGCTTTTCTTGTAAGGAGAGTCAGGCTGGATTCCTCTTGTGGGTTTTAACTAGATCTTATTGTCGTTGAACTCTGCCACTTCACGTAAAACGTGTATTGCTTGAAAACAGTGGTTTAGATTCTTAATGTTCAGAATGAATGCACTTCAAGTACGTATCACTAACTTTAAAGTCTCAAATGACTTATTTGTTAGAAAATGCTTACCCTTCAGGAAAACTTTGTTAGATTTAAACAAAATTATTTTAAGCATGTTAGAATATTCTTGTGGGATAGGACATGGAGGGGAAGACATCACTGACAAGTTAACATTAACTTAGCTTCCAGACTTGAGTCCAGTAGAAAACAAAGAGTATAAACCTGGTCCTATTGGGAAAGAGCGTTCTTTAAAGAACAGGAAGGTGAAGGATGGTCAACAGGGAGAGCCCGAGGGACAGGAGAAGCCATCTCCCACCTCTGTCAGAAGTCCAGAACCTGTCACTACAAAGGAAACCAAAGCAGCAAGTGAACTGAGCACGGAAATAGGAACGATGATATCTGTCTCTGCTCCAGAGTTTGGAACAAACACAAAGGTAAGAAAAACATTGAGAAATTACCGAGTGCTCTGTGTAAAATAATGTTACAGTGGTGTAATTGATACTTGGTTGCCTGCTGGTGGTAGTTACCTGGACAGCAGAGCTGACTGAATAGCAGATATGATACATACTGCTTGAATTAAACAGTTCTCTAGAAGTGATGTAGAGACATGTTGTTTGTCATACCCCTGTACAGAGATCAGCCTGGAAGTTTTTAACCTTTTTTTGCTGCCTTACGGATGTAAAAACTCTGTCCTGAGCCTTGCTGTGGAGAGTGGCACTGGAGGCTGGTATAGGCGAATTCTGTAAACTCATATATGTGATCTCTGCTGAAAGTCAAGCACTCGTATGTAACTGGAGTGAAGTAGTGTGTCGCGATTGTTGGTCGAGTGCATGGATGACCTGAAGCTGTGAATTAAGTGCTGTTCTGTGGAAAAAAGAAATCTCTAAACTAGGAATGAGCTAAAGCCTTGGATAAGGCTCATTCAGGTTACTTAAAGGGTCTCTTTGTCAGCTCCTGTTGGCTTGGATATTGTCAAAATATCCCTTGCAGAACTCACTCAGGATGTTGAGGACTCATCATAGTTGTCTGTGTGGAGCTCCCCTGATTTCTCTGTAACTGCTCAGCAGTGAGATGATGACTTGCTGTCGGGATTCACTGTTCCACAGCTCAGTTATTAGCTGTGGTGCATCGATAGCACTGGTGGAAAAACATCCAAAGAGGCACTCCTTTTTGCCTAAGGACCTGTGTGGGGGCTGCCTTCACTATCGCAGCTTTGTGTCTTGAGTAAGAACTATGGTTGTCATCTCTCAAATGTAAAGATACCATGCAGTTTGAGTAGCTACTAGCTAATAGTTACACCTGCTTTGGTAAAGGAAAAATGCTTCTTGTACGTTTGTAAAGCAGTTTTATGAGTTTCGACTCGAGGTTGTTGCATGCTGTTTCAATCTGCCTTTTCCTAGTCTTAAGCAGAATTTTTGTGATGCCATTTAGGACAACTGATCTTTTGCAAAAGTTAGGTTAATAACTGAAGAATTTGAAATGCTGATCACTCACAATTTATCTTTGTCACATGCAGTTGGAAAAAGAACATAAAAGAAGGTAATTCTGGTAGTTTTTTGCCAAGGTGTCATACAAGCAGAAGATGCTACCTCAATGAAGTAGTGTTACAGAGCAAGTGTTAAGGAGGAGATTTGTGTCTGACATGGTAACTGCAAATTTGATTTTGAGTGCAATGGCAAATACGTTAGAATATTCAGTGCTGGGATTTCTCATCCTTCCTGGCAGTTTCCATCTTGTAAGTAGATGCGAATGCTTTATGTTAATACCAGAAACAGATAAAGTGTCCTCCTTGTATGCAGAATCTGAAGTGTAGAGCCATGAGCACCAGGTTGCTCAAGTATTTGCTAAGGAGACTGCGTGTGTGTCACATGCTTTCTTGCTCTCTGTCAAGCTCCACTGACCAGAGCTCAAGATAAGAGGAGGCACTTCTTCTAAGCCACCTATGGAATAGGAAACATATCTTTGCTGATTACTCCAGGCTGGCTCGATATTGAGTAACTCCACTAAAATCAGCATAATTGCGCCTCTATGATTTTTAAAGTATGAGATCTTGGAAATGGAAGTCTGGATTTTTTGCCTTCTTGGCCTTAATTAAACATGGGTTGCCAATGTTCTTTGAACTACCAAAGTATTAAAACGCCAAGCTTCTGTCTTCTGCAGGGAAAACCAGAGTGAAAAGAAAATTTCTGGTTTGTGCTGGATATGAAAAATCTCGGTAGTTTCTTCATTAAGTGGTTGCTAATAGAAGCGTTTAATAATAGGCCTAAATATTCCCGTCTCAACAGTTCCAGATAGCTTTTTTGAATTCCTTTGTCATGAGTAGTTCCCCGGGCATCAGTAAATTTTCTAGCAAAGGGGTGGTCGTATTTCATGTTTATTCTCTGGAAGTTGAACCAACAACCTGCAGGTTTATTGGAGAAGATAAGCTTCATCTAGATATTGCAGGAGTAAACCAGTCTTGCCCCTCTTTAAAGTGGCTTTTAAAATGGCTTCAAACACCGCTCTGGCCCTGGAGTTCCTATACTGATTTGTATGGCAACTGCTTTCTTCTTGTCTTTGTACTCTTTCTGTTGCTCATTAGTGAGGGAAGAGGTGATGACATATTTAATCTGTTGTTTGAATGTCAGGTGTTGAAGTTTTAGCAAACCTAAATGATTTCTGTTTGACACTCGTTAACATCCTTCTCAGACACTACTGCTCAGCTTCCAGGAAAGCACACTTTCTTTAGTGTATTGGGTGATTTAAATATTTGTAGAAGTCAAGCCAACTCCTCCTTCAGAAACAGAAGCTTTTTAAGAGTACCCCATCCATCCCAAAACAAACATCTTAGTAAGAGCATGTGCATTTAATCACAGAAGACTGTTCTACCTTAGAAACTGTATAAATATAAATTAACTCATACTGGTGAGATGTTTAAATTCAGAACATAAGTATGATGCTCTGAAGCAGTTGCAGCTGTTTCTCTTGGGTATTGCAGTATTTTTGGAGTAAAAGCGATCTGATGGTGTAAGTCTCTGAACTGGGTAAGACACCTTGCTCCTTGCCTTTCCCTCCCCTACCATCTCGAAAGTTTTGTAGTTTTCAAATCACAGAAATGATCAATACCTGGTTGTGGACATGGCAATGAAATGTTTGCACAGGTAGTTGATAACAGCTGTGTGTTACAGGCTGTACTCAAGAATAAATTTTTAGTATCTGACAAACTCTCTGGTTTGAGTGAGTTACATAACTCAGGAAGAAATCAAATAGCGAGTTAAGCCCGTTGGTACCCTGATCCTTTATAGCAAGGTCAACTCTGAGGTCTGCCATATCCTTTTGTTCATAAAGTCACTTCGGGTTTTGTGATCTCTTCTTTTTGGGCAAAGTAGTTATAAAAAGGTTGCCTGTTCTTCTTCTTCAGGTATAAAATACTTGTAGATAATTCAAAAAAAGCATGTACAGCTTTTTGCACTTGCTATTATTACTGTTGCTAGTTTATAATAAAGTAATCAGTTGGTTTCTTCAGTAAGATAGTGGTACAGGAGAATCACTTTAATTGAATTGCAAAAGCTTATGATGACAAGCCACATCTAACAGCTTCTTAGACTCAATATACCAGTAAATGAAGGATGGTGGTTAACCTGCAGTTTCTGGAGTGGTGTTCTTATGGCTAAAGCATTGTCTAATCTGCATGTTTGGCATGTAACTCGCTCTTGTAGGATGGTTCGACATTTCCCATATACTTCTAAGGGCACCAGAGTTGACATGGTGGTTTGTTTTTAATTCTAGTGAAAAAGCTTTTTTTGTGCTGTAAGTTTTCAAAGTGAGACAGCTAGCAATAGTCTTGATCTATTTTTCTTTTGTTAGGAACTTTAGTCCTGAGACCTTGTAAAATTTGCATCCAAATCTTGGAGGAATTTTAATAATGTTAATTAAAAACTTCCTCTTATGCAGTAAAGCATCTTAAAAAAAAAGATAATCCAGTTAATTACTTCAATAGAAGGACCTTGTGATTAAAGCAGCCTTGTGTGCTTACCTGGTTCTACCCAAGTTAAGGTTGCCAGTTGGAATCAAATATAAATGTGCAACTTGCAGTTTGGTAGTTCGGATTGTGGGAAACATAGTATATCTTGTATTTCACAAGTTTAACAAATAAAGGAAATAACTGAATGGATAAAATAGTTCTCTCCGTTTCCTCATTAATACAAAAATAAGTCAATGTGCACATCATGTCCTCTCGCCCCATTATGGTTTAGCTTGTTGCCCTAGTCTTTTACCAAAATGAGCTTATCCTTCTAAGGAAGAATCTTTGTTATTTGCCAGTTAGTTTCTTGATGCTTTAATTGCTCTTCTAGGAGGTGTTGCCATAGGCTTGAGGAGTAAACTGAGCGTGCACTTTTTTAATAGTTTGTCATGCTGGCTGGATGCAATTAAACAAGCATATGTGGCTCATGCCTTCAAAATCATGATCTGTTTCAAGTCCAGGCACTCATCAACAGTTCTGCTGCTAATTTGTCCTTCAGTTCCTTCTTGGTGTTTGGTTCTTTAAAAACGATAGAGCCTTTTCTGTGCTTCAAACATGTACAACTTTGGAGTCTACAGTGCTTGCTAAAGAGTGGATCTTGGCTAATTCAGGGTCACACCATTTATCTAACGAAGTCCCTGGTTCAGGTTCTGAGAACACCTGTTTGCCTGTCCAGAATACACTCAGGCATCAAGTGACAAGAACTGAAAAATAGTGCTCAGCATGGCTTCACAGAAGTACCGGTGCCTTCTGTGTTCGTTGGAGGTAATGCTCTAGAGAGCTGGCAGTGTTACGAGTGAGACGCTTACATCGGGCAGTGTAATACCTACAGCTGCTATAGTCACTGGCTACAGCTACAGTGTTCATTGAATAAGGTGCACTTAACTGTAACAAATAAGCTTCAAGGAAAGCCTCTGGGCAGACTGGAAATTTCAGTCCTCTTCCTTGAAATCGCTGCCCAGTGCAAAAATTGGGAGGTGGACTTCACTATCCAGAGACACTGAGTCTTGTGACTTTCAGAGACAAGACTTAAAGGCAAGAAAATTGTTTTGCAAATTGCAACCATCCTTATATGTTCATTTTAATCTGGAGGGCCTTGCTTGTCATAGGTTTACCCAAGAATTTTCTGTATTCGTTTAAGGCTACAGAAATCTTTCAGCTTTTTTAAAAATTAAAGTATAAGCTGAAAGTGCCTACAGGTGGCGAAAGCATCTTGGATGACAAATGATAATTGGCTACAGCACCACAGTTCAGTATGCCTAGTGCCCAGCCAGTACATCACTCCGTATATTCTTGCTTTACAGTCTGTATCTTGACTTGTCTCCAGATGTACATTGCGAGGTCATGAGGCAAACTGTAATCTCCCAAGAATTTTTCTGACCTCAGTAACAATTCAGCAATAAGGATTTCTGGACATGCCTTCTGAGAAAAAACTGATGTGAAATTCTGATCTTCTGTTGCTTGGTGAACTCCGCCTGTAGAAAGGCTGACATCTGTCCAAGAAATTTAAATCTAATTTAGGTAAGGGAGATAATTTTAATGGAATTATTTTTCTTCACAGGAGTCTGTAACAGACTACACTACACCTTCTTCTCATCCTAACACAGTGGCTACTAGCAGTACAAAAATGGAGGAGACTTTGGTGACGAACGTAAGTCTGCTGCAGTGATGGTCTTGACTTTGAAGACAAGAAAATATTTTCACACTTCTTTAAAGCACAAAATAGTGCCTTCAGTAAACAAGTCACTAGAGTTTCTTTCATGTTAACTAGCTGTGCATTAAGCAGTAATCTTATTCAGAAGGACATTTGGTTTGATTACTATCTGTTCTGGAATTCTTCATGAATTTTCTTGTCTTTTGAACAACTACAATGAGCTAAAGAGCATGGAAAGTGGAAAAGATGTTTCTAGGGACAATCCTAAAAAAGACAAGATAGGCATAATGAGGGAGTGTGGTCTCAGCAGCAGTTGGGACTTGGAGCTGGTAACAGTAGCAAAGCTCTGTAGGTGAGTTTGAAGAAAGACTTTTAGCAGCAAAGCAATTTTGAACTGTAGCCTGAAATCACAGCAGCTGCATGTGAAGGGAGCAGCTTAATGGTTTCTGAAAGCAGACAGCAAGCTTCCAGTTGTTCAGTTGCTATGGAGATGAGATGATTGCAGTCGTTCTGAAGCCAGAGATACTGACTGTGAGTGTGGTGTAGTGATTGAGAGGACCAGCTGAGTTGTGACTTGTAGCAAAATCAAGTTTGTCTTGAGTGTGCCAGGATTTCAGGGAACTTGGATCTTGTGATTTTTGTTGTTTGAGTGGCAGAAATAGAATTAGCTCAGAGTTGAATCACTTGTTGATTGGGGGAAGAAAGAATCATACAGTAGGATCTCAGGGTTTTATGAAGATGCCTTGTGAATTCCGTCTAAGAAATGCTTTTCAGCTTACTGCAGCATCCTTTGATGCAGTTTTGAAGCAATGCGGGTTGTATTTACTCCTCTGCTGGATTTTGTGGTTGTGTTGTGATTTGTGCCTTTGGTGGTTAGTGTGGAAGGCTGAATTATTTTGTGTTGATGATGTTAGTGTTTGCTCCCCTGTGGCATGTTGGATTTCCAACACGGGAAACAGGGGCTCCTGGCCACAAAGGATCTGTGCTATCACTTGCTTCAGAGCTTCAGTATCTTTGTGTCTTTTGGTTTAGCCTCACCCAGTGAAAGTCCTGTGTTTTGAGTGGAGAAAGAGGTTGGGGAAGCAATAGACTGGCCACTGCAGTATTTTTGATACATTTCTTTTACAGCTTCTGGGAAATCCATCAGTCTTGTCTTAGGCGAAGATAGCAATAGCATTATGTCAAGTTTATTTCCTTAAGTTTCACATCTTTTGAAAGAGAAGAGAACTGAATTCAGTTATTGGATGGCAAATCTGTTCTGGTTTGTTTCATGGTCCTGTGACTTTGGAGGTTTATAGCTTTCTCTGTTCAGAAACAGCATCTCATACCTCAAGGTCATGTAGCCCCATGTACTGTATTGGTACACAGGCGGACAGTCTTGGCTTGGGAAGAATTTTTGCATATCAGTAAACTGAAATGGTACTTTAAATCCCAAAGCAGAAACTTGGTATTTGTTTATGCAGAAGACATGAACACTTCAGAACCTTAGTCTTCAACCTCTTAAAGAGAGGTGAGAAGCATCTCAGCACCTGCTGAATGGCCTTTCCCCGCCTACCAAATTTTCACCTTCTCCCTGCCAAATGCTCAAGCCTTGAAGAAATTGTAGCTCATTAATAAAGCTTGAGCTTTGCTTTTCTGGGGCTTTTGCAGTAGATGTAGTTAGAATGTGATGTGTGTTGCCTGCCTTTCAGGTGCCCCTGCCCCACACCCTTCCCCTCCCTAGGAGGGAGACTCTACAACAGAGCTCCAGCCTAACTCCAGTTTCTCCCGCTACCGTCGACCTCACCCTCAAGGTATGTACCACATCCCTCTAAGGGTTGTTTTCTTGCATGCAGGGGAAAAAGTAATGGAGAACTTGCTGGTGAAACTTTTTTTTAGAGCCTTCCTTTGTTTCCTCTGCTGAACTGCTTTTGCATATAAACGGATGGCTGAAACACAAGACTCTATCAAAGGATGCATTTAAATTATAAATCTCTAACCCAGGTTTGCATTAACACTTGGCATCTCAACCAATCTTGGCTCCCACTACCCTGAAAAAAAAAAGATCCTAGCATTTTAGCATTGTACCGTAGTGTTCATGACAAACCATCAGAATCTGACTGAGGTTTTTTTGAGTTTAGCTTAAAGTTGCCTGGTTTGGTACTAAAGGCTGTAAGGAGTTGCTTGGTAAGCCGAGCTTGAGTTGTTCTTAGCTGTAAGATTTTGGTGCGGTGATAATATGGTTTTGAGTTGGATGGCTAAAGTTCTAAACGACGTGTAGGTGGTGTGTCGGTGTCTATGAAGGGCAGTTCGATCAGCTAGTCAGAACATGCTTTGTTGTGTTAGAAATGTTCTGTTTTCTGCTCTCCGGTGTGGAGCAAGCGTGTAGAATATTTTGAATGGTGTTTTCCCGTTTTGTTGGGTTTTGGACTGTGTGCATTTATAACTCACTAACATAGAGTTGGGCTCTAGCTTTGCCATTGTATCTTTAGACAGTTTTGGTCTTTTTTTTTTTTGTTTTCCTAGATCTGCTTTGTGATTGTGACTGAACCAGTAGAAGTATTGTTGCTGCTTCTAGTATTGAGGAAGAGTGAAGTTTGTACTTAGTTTCTCTAAATTTCTAGAAGAAGTAGTGAAATTAGGGATTGGATGCGGAACTAACATTTTGGAGAAACTTGCTTGTACAGTCCCAGTGAGACTTGTGTCTTGCTGGCATGGTTTGACAGCTGCTTGCTCATGTTCCCTACAGATGATAGTCATTAATGATCTCTTGTGGAATCTTTGCTTTTCTTTTGTTAACGCTTTATTTCCTGAAAAAAAAAAAGTAACATCATTTTAAAACAATAGACCAGCAAAAATGGGGAGAGGACTGGAGAGGGGCAGGTAATTTAACAAAAGTCTGGTTTTCTATTGCATTCATATGTAATAAGTTACCATAATCTGACTTTCTGGCGCCTGAAAACATTTTTCTAAAATAGCAGTCTCTGTTTAGCAGCTGGATATCTGATTCACATGTAATACAGGTAGGAATGTCACTATAGCTTGATGCTGTGAAGAATGTGAACTGTTCGGTTACAAAGCAAACTGTGGTGTTTGTGTCATTCATCTCCCAGTTTCTTTTTCTGCTGTTCCACTGTCGGTGATTTAATTGCTTTCTCAGTGGATGATAGATCTTGGGTGTGTGCTAACAAAATATGTCAAAGATCCATGTTTTGAGGCTACATTGAAGAACACTGACCAAAATCTGAATGGAAAGGCATTTGGAAGCACTTCTGTTGCTAATTTCTCTATTCCAGCCACTGGCTCTACCACCTTTTTGCAACTGCGGAAGGCAACAAGCTTGTTTCGAGGCATGCACAGAGAGTGTCACTTTCACAACAGGCCTTCTGGTCCAGACAGCGCTGAGCTGCTCTTTGTCATCCTCTTCTGCTAAAAGATACTTTTGGAGCAGCAGAGAGGAGAGCATGTCCATCCTTCCCTTAAAAGAATAAAATCTCCAGGCTCTGCCTCCATGAAGGAATAACCCTTGTGCCTCCTCTTTCCTCTGTCCTCTGTCACAGAAAGCTGTCTGTGAGGAGACATGGCAGGGGAACTCAGCCACAATTGCTCCCACTACATAACATTCTGCCAGGGTGTAGGTATAAGGTGCTCTTATTGGAAGGCTTGTTGAGATCCTGTGTTTCCTTGGAGTAAGGCAGACATCCTCTTAAGGACTTAGCTGACAGGGCTATTGGTAGGTAAGGAGCTGAGCAAAAGAAAGTCCAAAGCAACCTTAAACTGAGCTGCCTGGCCCTCTTCTGTGTTCCGAGGTTCCATCTAAAATTCCTGTGTGGGCATCTGGTCCAGAATCTGACACCTTTTGACTTTCTGATCACTTAAACTTTGGCATACTTAAGGATATGCACATTGGTATTTGTCTCCAGTTAAGTTTTGGGGTAGTACATACTGGACCGTTATTGCAATATGAAGGCCCCAATGGGTCAGTAAAGAAGAGAAGCCTCAAGCAACCATGATCTCCAACCTCTGCTCTCCTTTTCCCATAACTAAGCAAGCAGTGAAATTACAGTGCCTTGCCCAGCCTCACTTAATTTAGAGTCTCTTACTCCTTCATAACTGGTCTGTAGGTGGTGCTGCATAGGTGATCCTAGAGTACCGATCTCTCTTGCATCTTGTTTTCTGACTTGAAGTTACAGATAGTTAAAGAGCTTTCTGAAAGCAAATCAATTAGAAAAGTCAGGACTATGTTACATGCCCTTTATTGCACATTGGTAGGGGTGTGGAATAATCTGGGAACTTTGGAAGACACAGTGCAATATGTAGACTCTAGCTTTTGCTATCAATAGTTTCTCCAGGACATCATGAAACTCACTGAACATAGTAGAAGCTTCTACACCTTCTCTATTCAGATACTCGCAGGTACTACTTCACTTTCCCTTAATACCAATGCAGTACAAGACCATTACCCTGTCTTACCAGAGGCCGTGGTGTTCAGAAGGGAGCCTGTAGTCTTACCTGTACTCCACCTTAAGCAAAATCCTTTCCAGCAGATTAATAATAAATTTAGAAGTTTGCCTTGTCTGCAAGAATCAGAACCAATTTAGAGGAGAATGTCATGGAGGGAAAACTGAATATGATTACTGGGGAAGATTGTATCAAAAAGGAAAACAGGTGACTTACCTGCAAATGATTTAATGTGCAACAAAGTTTCCCTCCTCCCGCTTCACTCGTGAGGAATACAGAAGTCTGTTTTCCATGTGGGTCTGTATTGATCACTGATCACCTACTTCTTTGGATATTGCTTTGCTTTTTTATCACTTCTGAAGCATCTAGACAAATAACCTAAGTCACGTTTGGTCTGTCCAGACTGTGTCTAACTCCTATAAAACAGAGTAGGTTGAAAGTATGATTTTCAGAGACTGCAAGCCCCAGTTAAGGGGCTCTGTTGATCCAGGCAGTGAGGTCAGACTTGTTGGTGAATATATGTTTGCCCCGTTACGTGTGCCGTTGAAGACAGCACCTGACCTTGAGAAGCTTACAGTCCACCAGATGAACAGTTTCAGCCTATGGCATCCAGCTCTGCCAGCAAGATCTTTGTTTGAACTGGGGACAGCTGAAAGTTGTAGAGAAGTCCAGGGACTGTGTTTAAGCCTTTAAATTAGCAAGTGTAGTCTGAACATTAGTACATCCTTTTCACTAGTCCCTCAAAAGTGTCTCAGTTCAGATTTGGCATTTTGTGTCTAATGTAGCAATAATTAGATTGTTACTGGCTGCAGTAAAATAACAGTTCTTTCCACTTTTGGTGGAAGATAAGTGTGTATAAAATATTTAAATGGGAAGCTTCATCTTCTTTGCTGTGCAAGACTTAAACTCGTAATTATTAGAGAAATAGAGGAGCGTGAAGCATTTTTTAGCATTAAAGTAGCGCACACAAAGTGTGTCAGCTCGTGGTTGCTCGTTGAACAGCAGTTGCTTTGGAAATCTGAACTTGACTACTCGTGTTTACTGAAGTGTGCATCAGATATTTTTAGTGGTCACTCGAAGTGGATGATTTACCAAGAAAGCAAGGGGCTGTTTCATTTAAATGGCCCAAATAACTTGTAAGTAAAGGACTTCGTGGAAGTATTTAGAGGGGTTTTTACCTTTCTTTTGCTCACTGTGTCTTTTGCTCTTCGTGTCGAACAAAACCAGGCCAAATCAGTGTGAGTGATTTCTCTTTTGAGCCTTGAGTGTTCAGATGATGAACTGTGCACGTGTGCAGTTGGAACAGATAAGAAGCTCCAACTTAAGGCCGTATGCTTTTTGCATGAACAGAGTTGCACGATTATGATGACTTTTAAAAAAGAGGCTCGCATGAAGCCTGAATTGCCTTTTGAACTGAAAAGAACTGCTGAAAGAGAAAGACTGTTTGACTAGTTCAGACTTCCTAATAGATGAGGAAATTTGTTTTCTTTCCAATAGATGGAGTCTGCACGCAAAGCATGGGAGAATTCCCCGAACATGGGGGAGAAGAGTTCTCCAGTGACCTCAGCAGCATCTCCCATCGCTGGTGGCAGCGGCAATAGCAGCAGCAGCAGCAACACTGGGCCAAGCAGTGGTACTTACAGCTCATTCTCTAGTGCATCAATGCCTCCTATTCCTGTGGCCTCAGTTACACCGACAACTTCGCTGTCAGGTACCAGATGTCAAGATTGTAGTATCCCATCATATTGTTCCTTGGTTAGGTTTTTCAAGAGACTGGATTTGCTTTGGAATTACGTTTAATGCAAAGGTAGCAGAAGTTTTGTGCTAGTATGAAATGTCAGCTCTGAACAGCAGCTTCCCAAATACCTTTTAATTAATGAGGAGGTACTGCACCTTTTTCACTTCAGTCAGCTGAAAGGAAGATGGCATCTCTCTACCTATGCTACTTATATGGACTTGAAAGAGGAGCTAAACTTCTCCTGTTGGGTGCATTATTGGTTTCATTTTGTTCAGCTGAATGAAGGCAAGTAGGTAGATTTTGGAGCAGATGGTAGTTCTGATATCCAGCTAATTGCAGTCTTACTTTGATTTGTGCTCTTGCTTCTGGAGTCAAAGCTTTGACAGTTCATACCAAAACCCCTTCGCACTAGGCAGAGCAAATGTCCAGCTGCTCTTTGCAAACAGTGCTGGCTTCCACCTCTGTTCTTTGCAGGAAGCAAAAGATGCTATATCTGGTTAAATCTTCACGCCTTAGAATATTAGAATGTGTACCCAAATCTCAGCTGAAGTGCTTGAAAAAGACCTTTCTTTGGAGCTTGGCTCTCAACCACGATAGGCACAACCACCATACGTTGCAATATTTTGTTGTGTAACTAACCAAGATGTCTACTTCAGTATTTTTTTATATGCTCCTATACTCAAGAAGGGAGACATGTTATGGTTGCAGTGTTTCCTGTAGTGAACGTAACAGAATTGTCCTCCCTGTCCATCTTACATTGATGGAAACTGCTGCATTAGGTTTCAGCGTTCTTTACCAGTTGTCGCTGTGCTTGCATAGCTGTCCCAACAGTTTGACCACTGACAGATGAGGCTTTGAAACATCTTTAGCTGTTTTATGATGTATGACTTGCTTCTCTCTTTCTAGGAGCTGGAACATACACAACCTCCTCACTGAGTACGAAGACTGCAAGCACCTCAGACCCTCCTAATATATGTAAAGTGAAACCACAGCAGTTGCAGACAAGCAGCCTAGCTTCTGCCAGTCACTTTTCCCAGCTGAGCTGCATGCCATCCCTCATTGCCCAGCAACAGCAAAGTCCCCAGGTCTATGTGTCTCAGTCTGCAGCAGGTAATAGTGTTTGTGGCTGAGAAGTTGCATGTCTGCTTTTGGAGTTCTGAAGCTGGAGAGTTGAACTGAGTTTTGATTTTGCGTGCAGTAAAGACAGAATGATGGAGAGCATTCTGTAAGCAAATATTCGCTAATTGTGTCCTCCTCCAAGTGTGTTAAGTTTCTAATTAGTGAGTAATAAAGATAATGCTGCTATTAATTTTTTGAGGAAAGTAAGTCTGAATCTCTTGATGTACCGTTTTGCTGTTGCAGAATGTTAAATTGCTATTTAAGATCAAGAGTGACTTAGTCTTGACTGCTTGAAGTGCTACAATAGTTTAGAATTATGGCATTTTTCTTTAAAAAAAACCCTATGTAAAATTAACCTAAATTGCGTGACAGTGTGACAGGTTCTTCCCCTTCCTTCACCCAAACACCTGCTTTGGCCAGAATCTGTTGCTTATCCCGCAAGAATTGCATGGGACTAAATATGCATATGCAAGACTGATAGATTCTGGGGGTGAGTTGGAAAAAAATACCAAAGCTGGCTAGGTACCCAGCTCTTCAGTTCTGTTTCTTCTCCCAGTCTCTCTGGTATCTATCGCACTGAGGAGTACTGACGGCAGCTGCGTCTCTAACTCTTGATGAAAACCTTTTGAGCAGGGAAATGTACTAATTGTATTGCTCTTCCTGAGGTACTGCAGCTCAAATCCCAGCATTTTATATGGATACGAGTCATCTGTTCAACACCCAACATGCACGTTTGGCACCACCTTCTCTGGCCCAGCAGCAAGGCTTTCAACCAGGGCTTTCTCAGGTATTTGGTGATTTGATTTTTTTCCCCTCCCTGTCCATACTGCCTTTCAAGCTCTGCTAATGAGTTAATGGGGACAGGGGAGAGTGGGACTAAAGACTCTGCAGAAATGAGGTCGTGCCTGCCCTTGCCATTTCATTCTAATACATGCAGATGGTGCTTGATCTCTGCTGTTCCTGAGAATGAAAGAATTTGTTGTGAAAGTTGAGAGAATATGCTTTCACTCGCAAATGTACTTTATGTAAAAGTACATATGCATGGGACATGTTTATGTGGCCATGTTCATGCAGGCTTATTCAACTTCTGTAGTACAAAATTTTATGCGATCTTTTGCAGTTGCTTTGTGTGCAAATCTAAATGATTCATTCAGTTTCTGCTGGTTATTTGCAAGGAAAAGTGTAAAATTCAACTAGAAAGTAATTTTCTGAATGGGAGCAATACTGGCTCTGCATGCAGCCTTGGAATTTGACATTCTTTGTGTACTTTTTATAATGTTACACAAATCCTGGCATGCATTTAACTGTAGTTTTTCTCTGTGACTTTTGTCCTTGGATATTTAATGGTTTCTTTTTTATGCAGCCTGCTTCAGTTCAGCAGATCCCCATCCCCATCTATGCACCTCTGCAAGGACAGCATCAAGCTCAGCTGGGTCTAGGAGCAGCACCAGCTGTTTCACAAGCACAGGAGTTGTTCAACTCCTCCTTACAACCTTATAGGTAGGTAGCGTATGCCAATTTCTTTGGGTTTTGAGTGGCAGAATTTATAGAACTTTCTTCCCTGAAGACTTTTGTTCTGTGCTCAATAGCTGCCTCATCTTCCCCAAAATGTCTTAACGTCTGTTTGTCTGGCTGAGAACGCTGTATGCAGATTGTCTGGCTAGTCTGCATGTGTAGATGTAGCTGTGAAATCGTGGGTTCAAAAATTATGCATGATATTTGTGTCTTTAGGAAACCAGGCTAAAAACCTGAAAACATCAGTCTTTCATACTATGAGAACAGAAAGAGGAGCCTGTCCCGTTAATTCCTGAATATTTGTGTGTTATTTTTGTAATCAAACCAACACTGGAGTCTTGAAATGCTTCAAAATCCTACTTTGAACCCCATAGACAGTAAAAACTTAATTTCAGATGTGTAGGGGACAGCAGAGTATGTTTTAGAATAAATGTTTTCTGTTTGCTACGAAAGATAGTAGGAAGACCAGTATCTCTCAAATGGCATTGTTAGCCAGACCAGTTTCCACTGTAAGCCTTTCCAAAGCTTCCTTGCATTCCTTTCGAAACTGATTCACAGTGGTATAATTCTGATAGATTTTGTTTGTTTCACTTTGAGAAAGTTTCTTTGGAAATTTAATTAGAGATTTTTGCATATGCTGTTAAAAAACCATGCTTGTTGCGGTGCAGAAGGCTGAAGCCACAGAAGGTTTAACTGACTACATGAGTATCCTGAATTTGTGCTTGGCTGACTTTGTTGGACCAAATAGTGCTTGTCCTGCCACAGCTGACAAAAATTGCTGCAAACACTTGGCTAGTTGCAGAAACACAATCAGTCTGGCATGTGGTCCAGATTAAAGAAGTGGTTCTGGCTGATGTGGTCATGCACAAACCCACTATTAATGGAGTTTTGGGTTGTACAGTTTGTAAAAGTATGAATACTTTTCCCAGATCTTGAAAGGTGCAGAGGAGGATAAGCTTTGAGATGTATAGGTTTCTGGTTTAAAAAAACAGAAAAAAAAAAAAAGGCTTGTGAAAAAGTTTTTGGCTACCTTGAAGACAGTCCTCTGCATACGTTCTGGAAAAGATTCTTCATTTGCTCAGAGTACAACTGTAAGAATGTTTTGCAATAAAGGAAGGGCGCAGAACAAAGTTAACCCGGGTGTTCCCTCAGGCAAGCACACGGCCGCTGCGCAAACAGATTAACAGGGCCAGTGCTATGCTGGTACATACCGACCAAGTGAGAAAGTGAAAAGTGTTTCTACATCAAGAACACTGTCCTCTGAGCTGAAGAGCTTTGAGAGGGGCATTTATTTAAAACCTCTGATTCTTCAGTCTGAAGGTGGCTATTCAGCAGGCTCTTAGTGGAAGCAGTTGGATGAATACTTCTGATAGACTAAACCAGCCTATCTGTTGTGGTGCTTTGCTCTACTGGCTTTGGTCGCTTGTAAACAAACTGCAACTTCCCCATGCTGATGACAAGGCAATTGAATATCTAGTTAAAGGCTGTAGTGTCTGGCTGTGTTACTGTTTTGAAGCCAAAGCATTCATTTGGAAACTCCATTTGTCAGCATCCAGTGATGTAACCTGTAAGTATTAAAAGTTGAACTATGGAGATCTGTGAAGTCAAAAGATCAAAGCAGTTCACTTTGAATAAATGGAACTACTCGCCTGAGGTGCTTCTCCACTGTCCTACCTCCTAGCACAGGAACGAAGAACTGGTAGCTTCTGTATGTTACAATTAAGTTATGCAAAAACTATTTTAGCACGCATAGCTAAGTGTACTTTAAGATGTCAGTAGAAAGCCTATAGTCATTTTTTCCTGTGGCCTTTAGTAGGATCTGTTATTTTGTGGTGTGCAGAGTAAATGGCAACTACCTTTCTCAGGTGAAAATCTGTTCGACAGAGCTAAGGGTTCGTTCTAATTCCATTTAAAGGATATAACCTGTGTTCTTAATTTTTGGTGGCTCAATGTTGAGCTCTGTCTGCATTTTTATGTATAATGCTTCAATTTCTTACAGATCCCAGCAAGCTTTTATGCAAAGTGGTTTGTCTCAGCCATCACCAGTAGTTCTCTCTGGTACAGCCTTACACAACTTCCCAGCAGTGCAACACCAGGAGCTTGCGAAGGCACAGTCAAGCCTGGCATTTCAACAGACTTCGAACACGCAACCTATTCCTATCTTATACGAACATCAGCTTAGTCAAGCTTCAGGACTGGGAGGCTCTCAGCTGATTGATACACACATTCTCCAGGTAGGAAACGCTCCAGAAGGCAAAACTTGCTTTGATACAGATAATGCAATAATAAATCAAGTATTGCTTAGCTTGACGTAAGCCCACCTCTGTGATAACTGCATGATAGTCAAGGTAGCAGGAAACTTAAGACGTTTGGAAGAGAATGTTCTTTTAATTTCATGAAGGTACATCAGCATAAGCTCTGAACTGAGGATTGTTCCCCAAGCTACAGGGCTCCTTGCACTTCTATCACTAATTGGAGCTTGAGGTTTAATTTCTGTTATGGTAGTTGATTAAGGGATCTTCTACCTTGCAAATGGGAGCTTTACCACAAGCTGAAACATTCAGGTTGTCAGCTTCCTATGCTGTGGTTTCTACTGTCCTGGCTGAAATACAGAATAATGTGCCATGCTGTCTTTGACCTGCTCTCCGAAGTATTCTTAATGTAATGGTGTCTTCACTCTTCGTAGGCCAGAGCTACACTCACCCAGGCTTCAAATCTGTACTCTGGGCAAGTTCAACAGCCTGGCCAGAGCAATTTCTACAACACTGCACAGTCTCCCAGTGCTCTCCAGCAGGTAAACTATGGCATGGTAAATTTCCTAAATTGTATTCTTCTTAAAAGCATATTGTTCTTAGCATTTTTTGTGGAGTGGGAGTGAGGGTGGAGGTGGGGGCTGATAAAATCTTTAATTCTTCTAAAATGCAAGAATTGAAAATTGTTAGCGAGGGGTAACTACTACAGCAGCACTGAAACTGAATTGCTGAGAAGTTGTGTGGCCTGCAAGTTCATGCTGATCATTCGTCTCTGGCATCCTTCTCTTAAATAGCTCCTTTCCTAGTGATAGGCGAAGATACAGTTGGCACAGTGATGTTGCTAACTGATTGTGGCATATGCTGCCTTTATGGGGGCAGGTGTCGGTCAGTGGTGGTGGAGTGAGAGACAAACTCCAGGTGCGTCGTGCAGCCTAATTGTTAACACCAAGTCTCACTGAGATGAAAAGCTCAGAGCTGCTACGTATGTCAACAGTATCAAACATGTAGAAAACAAATGACAAGTCAGCAGATAAATGATAATACAGACAAACAGGACAACCAAGTCAGTAAACTACATCAGGAGGTTTGTAAAATAACTCCAGCGATTCTAAGTTTTTTTTAATTATTTTGTGAAAGCTTTGTTGATCTGCTATGTTTTCAAGCAGCTTTTAAAAAAAAAAGCTTATGATGGGCTGCTCTATTTTAGTAGACTACTTCATATGCATGAAGAGTTGCCAAGGCTGATACGTAAAAGAGTCTTAAAAAATTGAGCCTCATCTGTTGAAAATCTAGCATAAAGTTTTAAGGACCTATGAGATGGTTTAGTGTTTTAATGTGTTCAAGCTTGGCTGCCTCTATACTTTTTAACCTGTTATCCTTCGGAGCCAAACCTTAAGAAGTCTTTCACATCTGGAGAATATCATATCATATATATCACATCATTCTTCTAGTTACACTCAAAATACAATTTTGCAGGTTGTGGATTGATGATCAGACTAGGAAATGTAGCAGCTCCTGCCAGTTAGTTCACCACTGTGTTATTTTCAGTTTATCCATACCGTTCTGTGGTGTTTTCAGCCCACAGCGCTCTTTGTTAATCCAAATGAGGGACAGGCCATGGTTGGGTTTTTGGGGTTGTGGGTTTTTTCAGGTTTTTGGTTTTTTTCCTAAAAAAAAAAAAGCTCAGAAATGCTGGCTGTTGGGACTCCCAGAAAGTAAAATCTAGTTTTCATCCTAACCAGTTCCCTTATGATGACTAAAATTATTTGAAGTTAAAATAAAAAAAATCGCAACTGGCTATTTCATTCTAGTGTATTTTCTGAGTTTAATTAAACTTACTTCTTCATACAGTGAAGTCGTATTGAATCATGTTGGAGTTAGTAGCTTTGCTTCTGAAAAGCAATGGCCCAAATGCTATTAGAACTGCTTATGAAGGTGGGCTAAACAATAGGTTCAATTATTTGCTTGCAGCTCACTAACCTATTTACTTTGTAGCTGAAATCATAGAGCTAGTAAAGAAAGTTAAATAATGGCCATTTTGTATATGTTACTGGTGATTTTGTACTTTTTTCCAGGTGACAGTACCTTTGCCAGGATCGCAAATTTCTTTGCCCAACTTTGGATCCACAGCACAGCCACTAATCGCCCTACCCCAATCTTTACAACCACCACTACAGCACACACCACCACAAGCGCAGGCTCAAAACTTAAGCAGACCTGCACAAGTAACCCAACCTTTCAGAGGACTGATCCCAGCAGGAACTCAACACAGCATGATTGCTGCAACAGGAAAGGTAAGAATATTGGTAAATCTACAGTACAAAAATTAATACAAAGCACAGCTGAATGCTGTTTTATAGAACCAGCATGGCAACCTGTGCTGACTCTTGCATCTAAGAACTTGCCTTGGCCTTAGAAGGTAGGGAAGGGAAGATAGAAAAGCCGGGCAGGATTAGTCATGGACTAGGAGGTGTTTCATGTGGAAGCCGTGTGGAAACTAATCCAGAGACGTTGTTTGAGCAGCAGGCAAACAACATTACACTGTCAGGCCCGGTTTCTGATTCTGGTCGTGCATGTGTTTGTCATTTTGCTCCAGTGTGAGGCTAGAAGCAAGCTGTAAGATTTCACTCACATGCTTCCAAACCACCAAGTGCACCAGCTGCGCTTGTAATGCCTCCTTCTGCTGTTTGAACCTATTATGCTATATACCTGTTGTACTGTCAAATGGGGAATGCCTGTGGTTCAGGGTAGATCTAGTCTTTACTAATACTGCCCTGTCCTCCGGATCGACGAGTGTCCCAGAGAACACCAGTCAGGTAGCTGTAGTGAAAAACACTGCAAGAGATAATTTTATGCATTTTTGTGTGGATAACTCTAGAGAAGGGAAGTTATCGCTTGTACATTTGTGAGGACATTAAAACTTGTTCTATGCTAGAACTTGAATCCAAGAGTGAATGTCAAGGGATGAAATCTTTCTGGTGCAGCAAACTGAAGTTGTAGGGGCTTTGATGGACTATGTATCAGCTGTGACCTTAAGCCAGAAGTAAATTCTACTAATATTGCTGGAGGTCTTTTTTTTCTGCATAGCACAGCAAGGTGCATAATGAGAATGTAGCATTGTATGCAAGGCAAGACCTTTGATGTGTATAAAGGGGTGGTCTTGCAGCTGAAGAAAACTCACCCTGAGTGACAGCTCCAGTAAGGAAATAACCCTGAAATAGTGCAAGAAATTTGAGTACCAAGAAGGGAATTCTCTCCTCTCCTTTATCTGGAGCTGCTGTGGTAATTGCTAATGAGAGGATGTGTGGACCTGGCTTCCAATCACAAGGCTTCTTAAGTGGAATCACAGATTTACAGGCACCTGGGATATTCAGATAGTGTGCAGCACAATGCAGTTGCAGCATACTTTTGGGTGAGCAGTGGATGATAACACTGGACATGAACACAGTTAAGGTATCTGTCAGATGTAGCAAGGTCTTTCCCCAGAGTAGGGAGTTATCTAGCTCTGGAGCTGCACCTGAAATCCTTACAGCTTGTGGCCTAGGTTTTAGGGTGCTTTTTGGCATAAAATGACCCTGCTGTCCCAATGGTTTACAGCTGTGATAAGAGAAATCCCTCTCAGGAGTTAATTCCATGTATTGGACAGTAATGACAAACAGAACTCCAGATCACCTAGATCAAGTTTTCATCCTGTCACTCACTAAGCAGAGTATATGGTGATTTTTGCGCCGTGCTGCTTTCTAGCTTTTCAGGATCTGGCCAAACCTTTTCACCTTTAAAATGTTTATTAGCCTGTTTTCCAGGCAGCAGCATGTTTCTTGCTACAGTTTTCGTTGGAAAATGTTCACTTACTTCAATGAAAAATGAGGAAGAGCTGCCGTGGGATGGTGGCCTTGGGTGACTTTCCTGCCCTGTATTAAGGGTTTCATTGTGTTCCTGCTAAAGAAAGTCAACTTAAAACAGCCACTCACTTTAAACTGATTGATTGTTGCCATTATGCTTCATGGCTGTGTATGGAAAGATACTGTTCCAGAGACTAATTTAGTCTGAGTATATCTGCAAAGTAACATACAAGATTCATTGCTTCCATTAAGAGTCTGGAGATGTTTTGTGTGAATGACAGCTCTGTTTTCATTGCGCTTTTTTTTTTTTTAAACTGGGTTATTTTATGGCATTATTCACTTCAACTTTTTTCAGGATTGTGTCTAAATATTTTCATGTGGTACATGAGATGGAGAAGGAAATGTCAACCCTGAAATATTTTTTAGGGCCAAATGTGTGAAAGGAGTCATGAATCCCGTTTCATTATGCAGGAAGATCAAGTTAGAAATCAAATACCAGTGCTGAAAGCGCTAAATAGTGCAGGAAAACTGTACACAGAGGTGCTAATGGTGCTGGGGTTGTCCTAATTGTAAGAAACCGTTCTGCAATCTGGCTTTCACCTCCGCTTAAATGATGTATTTTCATTGAGAAAAATGTGAGGTAAACTAACAGTTATGTAGTAAACGTAATTTTTATTTGACTTAGAATTAACATGTCAGTTGTGGTTTTTCAGATATCGGAAATGGACCTGAAGGCCTTTGGAGGTGGCATTGATGTTAAACCTGGAACACCGCCAGTTACTGGTAGAAGTACTACTCCAACCTCCAGTCCCTTCCGGTAAATCTCTCTTAAGCTCAAAATTCCTCAAAATCAAAGCTAGAAAATGTACCTAGTCATGCATGAGCAGCCAATTCTGAAAAGCATCGGGTGAGGGGCTACTAATATGAAACTCCGTGCTTAAAAGCAGCGTTCCAGTAGGTCGTCAGATCTGCTATAGTTGGCCAGAAGTATATGGGTCTGAAATAAAACATTAAAAATATTTTTCCGATTAAACAAACCAAGTCATATGAAGTCATCTGGGATTGCACCAGGAAAGCACAGAAGTGGCAGGGAAGATTTACTTTGGGCTAAAACTCCTAAGACAGTTTATCTTAAAACTGCAGTGCTCAGAGGAAGAACACTTAAAGGCTTACACCTCAGCTGGGCCAACAATTCTGTTGGACAACTAAGAACAGGTGCAAGATCTCTAAACTTCTTACAAGTGACATTAGTAAGCTGTTGCAGGCTCACCTCATTTATTGGCAGAATTAACAGAATCTTGCTCGTATGCAGATGCACTTCATGGTAAACCTGTTGAGCTGCTTGTGGGTGAAGTCATTAATGGGATGAAGGAACTTGGAAATGGAACTTTGCTTCAAGATTGTTTTGTTCTTGAAAGCTGCACTCCCTTGCATAGTAATTGTATTTGGGGGCTTTCACTGGAGCAGACTGATGGGGTTCAGGCTTTTCTAGAGAAGTAGAAATGAGAGTTGGACCTCCTACGTGCAATGGTCAAGTAGTGCCTCGGATACTTCACCTAAGAAAAAAAGGAAGGGCTGAGGAAGAAGAAACATTTAAATTCACAAGTTAGCATTTAGGATGATTGACTCGGTATATGTCTTGGAGATTCTACGGAAGATGTTTCTGCTCCTAGCAACCAAAGCAGGGCTTTATGGTAAGCTTTTGCTCGAAAGTGTAGAGCTACTGGGAAAACGACAAAAGCATAATATATCTCAAGAGCTGGAAGTGAAAACTCAACAGAGACTTCTTTAAGCTTACAGAATGTTGGTGTGTGGTGAGTTTAGCTGGCTTCCTGGCCACTAGTGCCTCGCTGCTCGTTTTATGTTAAGTATGTATGTCACCCACACACTCTGCTTGAGAACTCTGCAAATCAAGCTCCGTTTCCTAAAGAAAGCTGTTCACCCTTTTGTCTTCTCCAAGGGCTGCTTGGTGCCCTTCCCCCAGATAAACTTTCAGGCTTCATTTAACGCGTAGTGATTCAACACTTCTTAGAAGTTGTAGTGGAGGGTCATGTTCTTAGCCAAATAAAAGAGGGGGAGAGTGTTTTCTGTGAATTCTTGAAATCTGCCGAAGCGCATTTTGAAACATTTGACAACAAGTCAGAGTGGAAGCCGCTGCACATCGTACCTTCTGCTGTGCGTGCTTAAGGCCTGTTGTGACAAGCTCTGAACTTGACATGTTAGATCAAACAGTAAAGGGGCAGGACTGAACATAAAGGTACCACGGATGGGAAGGGGAACAGACTTTTAACGTCAGTATTTGTGTTAGGAATACTGTTGGGAAAGGTCACTTTCATACAGACCTTACCTTGGAGTCTTTCCATATCCTAACTAATTTCTGATTGTGGTTTCACTTTGTATTCTTAAGTTCCGAGTTTGTTTGCGTTTGAAACCAACAGTAGATCCAGAAGAATATCTGATACCAGCTGCTCCAAGAGATTATTTTTCCCCCCTCCAATGCTGAATTTCTAGTTAAATTGTGTCTAAAGGCAGAAGCATCTTCTGGATGAGAGCAGTGTGATTCTAACTGGCGCTCTTGTCTTTAGGGCCAGTTCTACAAGTCCCAACAATCAGTCCAATAAAATGAACAGCATTGTCTACCAGAAGCAGTTTCAGTCAGCAGCTGCCACGGTGAGAATGACACAACCGTTTCCTGCACAGTTCGCACCACAGGTAGGTGACTGGTGGCTTGCTGCAGATAAATCTGTGTCTCGGTATGACCTGGTGACTTTGTAACTCGGCTGTGTTTCCTCAGGCTTGATCATGGCCGAATACAAAATGGAATCCTTACAGAAAAGGAAATGCATGAGAACTGATTTCAAGATCAAGGCTAAAAATCCTCCTCTGATCTTGCTAACTAGTAGTGCAGATTTTGTGGTGTGTTTAATTTTGAGAGTTTTGTGCACGCTGAGGAATTTAATGCAAGTGATGAATAACGTGGAACAGACAGTTGTTCAGTTCTGCTGGCTTCCCCACGCAGCTGTAGTGCACCTCATCCTGCAAAAGCGTGTAATTTAGTTGGGGAAGGGGAGAAGGTTCATGTCTCGGAGGGGTGCCAGTGCATATTTTAAATCTTTAAAGACAAAGAGGGTTTGTTGTTGTTTGTCAGAGATGCAGCTCTAAGGTATTAACGGAGCAGTTCAGGCTGGAAAGCATCTCTGAAAGTCATACTGTCCATGCAGAGCGGGGCAATGGCAAAGGGTTTGGTTTGTTTCTAGCGTTCCAGGGAGCACAGCTTGCAAGGTGTTACACTCTTACAGGTGACCGTTTTCAGGCTGCTAGGGAAAATGTAGCCTCTGTAAAAACGTAGGGCATTTCTGGCTTTCTTGTGGCATTTGGAGGGTTTGACTGCAGGACTTGAGATTGGATTTTTGGATTGCCACTAGCAGAGACTAGCTAGCCTTTCCAGGGCTGCCTTTCGCTAGCGGCGACTCCACTGCCTTGCATGGGTCTCCTCCCTTGTTACATGCTGGTTTTAGGTTGTCGGCCCTGCTTTCGGGCACCACAGCACTACAGGGCTGTTTTTTTCTGGAGTTCGAGCATGGCCTCTCTTAACATAAAAGCCTATTTTCTTGACATGAGTTTGACAGCAGAGCGGGATTTTTTTCCACTTTAAGATAATGCCAACATGCAATCTAGTTGGCAGTTTTCTAATTGAGAAATGTCTCTTTTTGTTGTTTTTCCCCCACTTAGATCCTCTCTCAGCCTAACCTGCTCCCTCCATTGGTAAGAGCCCCATATGCTAACACCTTCCCAGCGCCTGTTCAGAGGCTGCCAGTAGTACTGCATAGTCAGATGCCATCTCAGATGACCACAGGCCTTATGAGCCACCCTCATTTACCACGTGTGGCCAGAGGTCTTTGTGGATCAGTATCTGGAGCCAGAGGCAATCAGGCCCAGGCTGCGATGAAGGCTGAACGAGACACGCAGGTTAGTATTTGAACAGCAGTGCTGTTAACACCAGTTCAGTCTTGGCAGCTTGTAGGGCAGGAATGTGTCTGCAAATCACGTCTTAATTAAAAAGCCTCTGGACCCAAAGCCAGTAGCCGGGCCTGTAACAGCTGAACACAGACCTTCTTTCTCTAAGCCTTGGGGGTTTTTTTAAGAAGAACTTGAGACTAAAAAATTGGTAGGGAGCTTCCTTTCTCAAGTGGTCTTGCGGTCAGCAACTGTGAAGCTGCCACAGGCAAGCTGACAACTAGTTTTCAAGAGCCTGCATTTTTTGAATGAGCGATGAAGCCTCCAAAGCGGACTGTTAGCTGTCATTTCACATCTGCCTCCCCAGCTCAGAGCAGCGGTGTGTGCTAGCCAGCATTGGTCCCCGGTGATTCTGGAGGTTGATTTCCCAGTGGTTGGAAATGCCCGTGATAATTCTCTGTGGGAGAACACAGTAACGTGGTACGCTCCACAGGGGAGGTGGCTGCATTTCAGTACCAGGTGATGAGAGTCATCTGACGTGTTAAAGCACTTTGGGACCCTTCAGGCTGAGGCAAACTCTTCTTACCAAGGCAGAGACTGCAATATGGGGCGTCTGCAGAGGGACACCATTGTACACTTAGCCTGTTTTCTGCAGAATAAGTTGCTTGTGTGAACAGATGATACTAAGGACTTCCTTCATCTACTGTCATTCACCATAACCCATGCATTGAGGTGTAAAAGAGTGTGCTTTTCCTGTGATTTCTGGTTGTAGAGGAATTGATTACCCCTTAAATTCTAGGTATTTTGTCCATTTAGTTTTCTGCCACCGGTTTACGCTGGCTGTAGACTTACCAGGTCATGCTTACTTAGTATGTTGTCTTGAGTCTGTACGGTGAATTGAACCTAGCCAGCCGTAGCAAATACTAATGCGCAGTCCTGCTTGCTGAATCTCCCTGCAAACACTGTTCAGAAGAATGCGAGTTATTCTGTCACACTTGGTTACTTGTGATCAAGTCATCCATCCTTCTGGCCTTAACCTCAGGGGATGGCTGAGATCTGTGCAAAAGATTTCAGGTGTCCATCTGCCTCCGCTAAAATCAGATTGTTGCTGCAGTCCTGCACACCGGCGTTCGCAGCCTTGTTTTCTGTTGCTGGTTGAGTTACCTGGAGCAACTACGCAGTATTAAAGCCAAGACCTCTTGTTTCACGCTTCTGCTCTTTTGTCCCCTCCTGTTGTGTGTGTGTCCTGCCCTGTTTTCTGTTTAAAAAAAAAGGCATAAAATGCTTGGAGAGGTGCATGGAGGATTAGTGTCTGTATCGTAGTTGGGGTTCCTTATGTTAAGATAGGCCTTTTTAATTTTAAAAAAAGGCATTTAACTGCACTGGGCTTAGTCGTGCGGCTTCCAGAAGATTGAACTCTTAATGTGGCTCCTGCTTTGCCCGAGTCTGGGCAGGAAAGCCAAGCGCTCAGTCTGCAGCACCTGGTCTGCACCTTGCTTCACTGACAAATGAAAGGTCGGGTGTAAAACTGCAACGGAAACATGTGGTTGCAAAGGCTGAATGGCGCAGGCGCAGGTGAAGGTTGCCGGTAGGATTTGGAGGAGGGATTTGAAGGAAGCCAGGCAGTAGCTCCTGCTTCCTGGAATGAGCGCCCGCTGTGAGTGGGGAGCAGTACGGCTTCGTCTTGCGCATAACGCAACCCTGGACCAGGTTCCCTTGCACGTCCCCACTGCAAACTCTGACGTCTGCGTCCAGAACAACTGGGGGGAAATAGCCTGGGTGCTCAGGGTGGGTTCTGCTGCTGTCCTACAGCCCCCGCGCTCAGGGAGTCCAGGCCAGGCGCTGGGAGAGGCGACAGCTGGGTGGCACTGGGTGCCAATGGTAGCGTCGGGGTGTGGGTGCCTTCGGGCCGTGTCAGACCTCGCGGAGGGGTGAAGCTTCAGTCTGAGCTTGCTGTGGGCAGTGCTGATACTTTTTAAGCCCTGCAATGATAGTGGCATGAAAAGATGTTAGATAGTGCTTTGAACTGATGTCATTGATTCCACTTGCTGGGTTGAGGATTAGGAAGAGCGAGGGAAGCCTAGGCACAGCGTTAAGCTGCTGCAGAGGAGCCAGGCGCCCAGATGTGGTGACATCTGCGGAGCAACTGGATGGACACAGCCTGTCTAGGAAAGTCTGGCAGCTGCGGTCAGTCCTTCCCCTTCCATTTAGGTTATACTTTTGTGAAGTCACTCTTACTCCAATGCCCTCTCTTGAGTAAATGTATTTTCTCCCTTTCTTAAGGCAAAGCAGAGAGCAGAGGTACTTCAGTCCACCCAGAGATTCTTTTCTGAGCAGCAGCAGCAGAGCAAACCCGTAGGAGGCAAAGCGCAGAAAGTGGATGAGAACGGGAGCAAACCCGCTGAGGCGATTGCTGACTCCTCAGGAGTCTGCCAGGACAAAACCGAGGAAAAGCCGACCCCTGCGCCTGCGACGGCAACGAAACCCGTTAGAACTGGACCAATCAAACCTCAGGCAATCAAAACTGAAGAAACAAAATCTTAAAGGCTGTGTTTCCATGGGGGCGGGGGGGGGGGGAGAGGGGAGGGCGGGTGAGATCACAGCAGCATGAATTTGTAGCCCAAAGGATGAGACAGCAGCCCGCTCTCCCTGCAGGCTCGGTGTGAAGGGACATGGAAGCTGTCAGCATTTACGGGTGCAGACTGCTGCGCATCCACCCGGGCTGCTGGGCTCTTTGGGCTTGTATCTTCTCTTAACAGCATGACAGCTGCTTTTGGTGTGTGTGCACATTCTGCGCGCGTGCGCGGGTTTTGGCTTGCACACCTGTGTGCTTCCCCAGGTGGAAAAAAAAAACAGAAGTAGCAGTGGTGGGGAAGGAGGTGGTGGGGAGGCATGTTCCTAGCTGATGAGATGAATGCTCGTACTTTCTTCAGGCTGTGATCTTCAGCTGCTGTTTACCTTTTTGTAAACCTGTGAGTAGGAGAACATGCAGATCTGAAGATGGTGCTGGGCCAAGTGGTGTGTGTTAAGTTTTTAGTGACTTCAGAAGCTTCTATCTTGTACTAAACGGAGGGATTGGTAGAGCTGGCAAAATTACCTTTGCCGTGTGACACCTGACCTACGGTAACGCAAAGAGCCGTGCCGATGGAGTCGGCTTTCCCTCCAAAGGCAGCGCCGTGCTGGCTGCTGCTTGGATGACAATACGCTGTATTTAGATCACCACATGAAACTGCTCCTTGGCCACCTGTGTTCTCTGCGCCCACTCCCCCCCACCCCCCAGCCGTTCACCTCTGGAGTTGAAAGGTTCATGACGTTGATAGATTTGTTCAGTTCACCTCTGTCCGGCCATCTTTATACGACACGAGTGGTCTTGAAACGGTTTCCAGCTTATGTCTGTGTACAGCACCGAGCACTTCGAGCCGTGCCACCGGAATAAAAGAAACCTTAACGGATTAAAGAGAGTTTTCTCTAAAAGGTGCATTCTTTATATCGGAGCTGCGTCGCACCACCTCCTTGCCCACAGTGTGCTGGAAAGTAGAATCAAGTCAAATAAATGCCTTTTTAATTGTATCCTCTAGTATTATAGCTGTAGGACAGTACTGTATGATACTTCTGTGAATGTAAGATATCCTGTACCCGCTTATGATATGTAGTAGTGACTGTGCTATACTGGAGCTGGTTTTAATAATGTTATTCTAGAGGTTTTTTTTCCAGACAATGATTGAAAAAGCTAATAAAAAGCACCAGGTACCACATCAGTAGCAGAATTTGCTGGTTTTTTTCTGGGATTTTTTTTTTTTTACATTTTTTGGAAGGAAGAGTGAGTTGGAAGTCTGATGTGTATAATTTTGTTCAAATGACTGCAGAAGCTGGAAAGGCTGTTGCTGCTATTGATGCCTAGTGAATCGCTCTTGGTTATCTTTTTATATAAATATATATATAATTTGAATTTTTGGAAACTTTAGCTGTGATGTCAACTTTGGAAAAAAGTATCCCACTTGTAGTGTGAGTTGGCATTGTACAGAAATTAACAGCCATATTGGTCTAGAAATGTTAAACTTAATTTTTTTTCCATTTGTACAGGGGTAACGCACTGTATTAAATATGTACGGTCTTATTTACATGGGTTTGATTACAGAAACTAATAAAGTATTCTCTAAATAAAGCATCCGGGTAATCTCGTGATTAGCACAGTGCTGCAGGATGCAAGGAGAGCACCTGAACGTCGCGTGCCAAGCGAGGAGTGTGTGTTACGACCAGACCCGTAAAGAAAAACGGTTTGAAACAGCTCTGTTCTGTTTCCCCCAGTGCTTTTGATCTCGTTCTCCGGCGACGAACTTGCAGGACGTGGCTTCCGTCTCGCTCCGGAAGGAGCCCGCCAGTTGCATTCCCCAGCCCTGGCGTCTCCGGCGTCCTGGTGAGCTGCCCGGTGCTGGAGGCTCGCCTTCCCTGTCTGGAGAGGAGCCGCTCGTCGGAGGAGACCCCGCGGGA